GGGGAGAAGCGTGGACGAAGAGGAGGGAGGGGGGCTTGGGCGGATGGGCGCGAGCGAGGCAAAGGAAGAGAGAGAGAGAGAGACAGAGAGCGCGAACGAACCTTGGATGGGGGCGGGCAGCCAGGCAGTCTAGCCAGCGACGGCAATGGGCAGATGTGTGTCTACCTGCCTGTGTGTCTGTCTGTCTGCCTGTCTGTCTGTGTATGCGAGCGGGTGTCGTGTGTCGTGTGGTGTGGGTGGGTGGGTGAGAGAGAGAGCGTGTGTGTGTGTGTGTGTGGTGCGGGAGCGGGTGTGGGTGTGTGTGATGTGAGCAGACCCGCGCGAGGAATATGTATGGGCGATTGGCCTAGTCCCAGTCGATGCAATCGCCGTCGGTGGGCGGGCGCGGCTATTCTGCCCGGCGAGGCCACAGTGACAGAGCAACACGGAGAGGCTGCGAACACTGTACCGAACCGCTCTCGCGCGGAGCTGTCCAACCATCAACACGCCTGCGCCCGTTGCTCTCGTTTCTTTCCCTTGTCCTCTCTCCATCCAGCTTCTCTCTCTCCACATGCACTGCGCTCCCCCTCGCCCGCGCACTCGGCAGCGCCTACTCCTGCCATTACCACCACCACCACCACTACACCTCCACAACATGCAATCGGATAGGCCCTTGTACCCCAGCACCCGACGGCCCGCACTAGCACCACGACGTCGTCTAGGGAGCAAATGGCACGCAATGACGACAGCGACAAGCTTCAGGCATCACACGCGCTGCACTGTCATGGCATGGAACAGTGGCCACACCCGGGGGCGCATTTCACGCCCTCTCCCACGCCCACGCCCTCTCCCTCTCCCTCTGCTGCCCCCCGACGCGCCCATGCCGCCCGCCCAAGCTAGCCCCTGGCCCGCTGCTTCTTCTCCAACGGACCCCAACACGATTACTCGCATCATGCTGCGAGATAGCCACCGCTAGCCTGCATCTCTTTTTCCACACACGCGGAGATTCCGTCTCCACACCACAGGCCAAGCACCCGAGCGCCCCGCGCGGCTTTTCAGCTTTCGTCCATCCATCCATCCATCCATCCATCCATCCATCTCCCCATCCCCAAATCGGCTGATAGCCATAGCCTGCTTTGCTCGTCCCCAGCCCCAGAAAAAAAACATCAGATGCCTTGTCAGCAGCCAGCTCGGTCGAATCAGTCATTTGCACCCTCCCTCCCCCAGCCCATGGGCCTGCAGCGCCTCCGCCCAAGACCGCCCTACCCTGCCCGCCTGCATTGGCGCCCGCAGCCATGCATGTTACCTTTCTCTTTCCATCCATCCATCCGTATCGTCTGACTTGCAACCCAACTCGTCAAGCCGCTCCTCTTTGCCGCAACACCCGAATCAGGAAGCCCAGCTTGATTGCTGCTCTCTGCTCCCACGACTACTCTCCGTCCTTCCTGTCCCACCCGCCCATTGCATTTTCCTCTCTGCTAGTCGCCTAGCCCCAAGCGTCGTCCACCATGGCGCCCCTTTGGCCTTTGCTGGGCGGAAACGCCTTGGCCTATGAGCTTGCCTGGAGCTGACTTGGTCCCAAGCCCCCCATGACTCCGGCCTTCTTTCTTGCCGTTCGGCCCAAGCACAATCCCCACTTGCAAACGCTGGGACTCGCTCCTTAATGGCATTCCCCATTCTGCATGGACCAAAAACCAGCCCCCGAAAAAAAAAACCAAGAAAAATTACACCCAACTCCGGTACTTAGCCACAGACACACCAACCACGCTCTTTGATCTTCTCGACGATCTGGTGTTCCACAAAGCGACCCGCTCTCTCCCGCCCAACAGGGGGGGGGGCCCATTGCCTGAAATGTAATCCCACACCCCCTGTCTCTGTCTCTTTCGCTCAGTCTCTCAGTCTCTCTTTTTTTTTCGTCTTCTGCCCGTGCTGTTCCCGATGATTCCCGCCGTCATCAGTCATATTACCTGGTCCCGTATCTTACATAGTACATACATGCCCTAGCGGGGGTTCCAGCATAACGCCATGTCCGCTTTCCTTGTTCGCTCCGCCTGCCTATCTGTCTTTTCTCCACCATGTCTCTCCCCGTCCTGCCACACTAATGCCGTCTGTGCTTCTTGACGTCCACATGGCCTGAAACTGCGCCAAGTCACAATCGCAACGACACTGAACATGTCAACCGTGCAGTTGCATCTATCCATCTATCCATCCATCCATCCACACATGCACACATCCATCTATCCGTACCCATGGGCCATGCCCGCACGCGCTTCGGCATCTTGGCCCGGTCAGCGCGCATCCCGTCGCCATTCCTGTCTTCTTCGTCTTCTTTGACGCGTTTCCGGAGAGGCTGTGCCACCATAGTCCTTCTTGTCTTAGACTAGACCCTGACGCCAAACTTTGTCATCTGCCTCTTTTTTTTTCTTCCTTCCCTTTCTCCCTTTCCCTGCAGCCCCGATGCCGCCAAGTCCCAAAGCCTTGCTAATTCTTTGTCCTCGGTCCTCCTCACCCCCGCCGCCTCCCAACCTGCCTCGACACTGACACCCACTTATCTCACACACACACACACACACACACACTCACCATGCACCATCGCTTATATCCGCTGCCTTGAAAGTCAATCGGGACTACCACACGAGCCGAACACACGAACCTGCTCCTTTTGTTTCTTCCTCCATCTGCTATGCATCTGAAAAGCCATCTTGTTGCATATTCACAAAGACCCGCCTTTCTTACAAACCCTTTGTTGCCCACTTTCTTGAATATTTGAAACGAGGCCCAACAACACCTCGACTATCTACCTACCATACTCCTACTAGTAAAAACCCACACACACACACACACACACCGCTGCCTTGACATGTGTAGCGCCGCGTATTGCAAGGATGCGTCTGAAACATATGCACTGCGAATCCAACCCCCTCATAGGCTCCCTCTCTCCAATCCCAACTGCCTTGGCACCCACGCCCTACGGTTCAAGCTAGCATGGGCGCGCGCCTTGCCTGTTTGCCCCCCCCCCTCCTTCTCCTTCTCCAACCGAGAAAGCAGTACATCTCCTGAAAGCCAAACATAGGTTTGGCTTATCGTTTGGCTTTTTTTCTTTCTTTTGTTTTTTCTTTCTTGCATCGCCATGGGCGGGGGAGAGCCGCTCTAGCGGTGTGTGAGACGCCTGTCACTCACTCACTCATTCATTCTTTCATTCTTTTCTTATTCTACATCTTGATCTTGTTCTTCTTCGCCTCTTCCAACACCCAAAAACAAACTGTTAGAGAGAAAAAAAAGAAGAAAAAAAAAGATATACAGCAGTGTTTACAAGATTCACATTGTGGTCTATGCAGAGCATGTCATTGTCATTGTCATTGTCATTGTCACTGTCATGGTCATATGGTGGAAATATCCATCTTTTTTTGATTGTATTTTTTTGTGTTTTCCAGCTTTTTTACTATAGACCACGTAACAGACCCCTCCCCCTAGGATACCCATGTTCATTACGTAATTACTACTTGTCTTGACATGTACTTTCATCGTCATTTCTCATTGCTCATTGCTGTCATCATCATCATCATCATCATCGTCACCATCATGCTTTTTCTTCTTTTTCCTCGTCTCCACGTGTCTGCCAGCTACACCTAGTCTAGGATGATATTTCCAAAATTATCCATACATTCCCAATCTTGAAACATGCACTACGAGGGGAAAAAAGAAGAAGAAGAAGAAGAACAAGGATAGTCACAGCAGAACTAGCAAGTCCTAATACTTGCCTTTCCAGTTCTCTCTCTCTCTCGTCTCGTCTCATCTCGAGACACAGAATATTCACGACATAACCCGGAAGAGGGGACCCACCCGCATACCTACAACAATCCCCCAATGAGGAGACATGTCATTCGCCTCTCTATCCTGCACAACCCTAAATCTCCATCCTATCCTTGTTCCAGAAATCCATCTAGTAGTAGTAGTAGTAGTAGTAGTGAAATAGCCAAGCCCCCATCCCATAGAACATACATACACTTCCAACCAATCAACCAACCAGTCGGTGTCTCACTTGTCGCCCGACCCATGAGGCTATCCAAATCCAGCCTCCGCGGACAACCACAACAACAGACATTTCTCAGCATGGGGGGGGGGGGGGCGGACGGCGATTGGATGCCTCGTGTGAGTCTATGTGTGTGTGTCCTGCCGCTAATTCGCTCGCAAGCAAATCAGTAGCCGAGAAAATTGTTTTTTCACATCCCAAATAAATAAATGCTGATCTCCCGTGAATTTCAAGAAGAAAAAACCAGACTTGGGACCTTTTTTGTTTTACTTTTTTCGCTCTTCTCTTCTCTCTCTTTCGCATTCATATCCCAGAGAAGACTGTCTTCAGCCCTAGCTATGTCCTAGAACCTAGTAGTCGCCTCTCACCCCCATTTCTTTCTTTTTTTTTAGGGTGACTGGTCCAGAATCTGTGCAGTGTGTGTGTGTATGTCATGATAGTGAAACAGACCGATGAATGATGAGTTGTCAAGAAAAGAAAAGGAAAAGCAAAAAAAGGACATGATTGGCACGAGGAAAGAGAGCAAAGGGAAAACAAAAAGAATACGGGAGATTGCGTGTCGGAGATGAAAGTCCATGTCGAGTTGAAGTCTGTGTACGAGTAGTAAGTGCATGAGAGAGAGAGAGAGAGAGAGAGATGGTATCCCTGGTCCCTACTGGATGGGCGCTAAAGCTGATTTATTTCCCTGATCTATGTATGTATGTATGTATTACACGGGATCAGAACCAAATTCCCAACGATGAGAGCCATGTGTCTTGCTATTGTGGGCCGAAAACCAAAGATTATTGATAACGCAAACCTCTTATTTTTCTTTCTTTCTTTCTTTCATTCTTGTTGTCATTTGCAAGAGGGCGTGGCAAGTAGTAGCCAGGTTCCCTCTCACGTATACCAAGTGGATTGAGTTGAGTTGAGTCAAGTGAAGTGGAGTGAAGTGGAGAGGGTAACAGCATGGGCCCTAACATGTCGTGGTACATATGTAGATATTCTACTTAGTCGTAAAGGACTAATGCAGCAAGTAACAGCTCTCAACAGCCAGTCCTACTTGGTACTTACTACTAGGTATATGAAGGACTGAGCGGGAGGGGTGATTGGACGCGCGCGCCAAACTTTTATTTCTGGGTCCCAATTTTGGAGACAATGACTGAGTGGGTGGGGACTATGTGTAGTGTAGTTTTTGGTATCCATGTCGTGTTTTTGGTGCTACGGGCACCACTTATCTGCGGCTGTGGTCTGTCTAGCTGTGCATGCTGGGTCTGGGCACCAGAGGAAGTACGCGTCATTGGGAAGATGGGCAGAACAATGGCAGTGCCAAGAGTATCACTATCACAATCACTCCCACTATCAGCATCGGCATCAGATGACAACAGCCATGTCCGTGTCGCCCCATGGATGGCCATACGTAAGGATCGCGGTGATCTGTGGCAGGTGACAGATACGTAGAGATGGTAGAGTGCAAGCGAGGAAAGACGGTGAGAGGAAAATGCCGTCGGTGCAGCGCACCGTTGAGGCCACTGTCGTGGGAAAAAAAGGCACATGGATCGAGGCGGTCAGCTGGCCATCTTGATATGGAACAACCAGACTCAGATGAGACATTGCGTCTGTAGCATGGATATTACTCGGAGAACTTGCCTGCGATACGCCAATGCGCCAGTACGTACCTCAACTAACTCAACCGTCACGTGACCACCGCTACCATGCACCAGTCCTTGTCAGACGCAAAATGGTTAGCTTGCATGTACAAAGGAACGGCTCCAATCACATTCTTCTTCATGTCCCGAGTTGCTGCATCGAAATGCTCAACCACAACTTTCCATGTCAGAGTTACATTCATCATCTAATAGCTCAGGACTACCTACACGAGCTGGATCCTGTCTAAACTGTTGTTCATGCTGCCAAACGCCATCAAACGCCATCAAACACCCTCAATTCCAAATCCCTTGATTGCTGGTATCGTATGCACCGGGTTACAGCCCACTCGCCCTAAACTGTAAACTATATTGAGCCAGAAAAGGCATCAGGACCGCGCTCATAGTAAGCACTAAACCCTACGGTGGCATTACTTTCGGCCAGGCGCAAGTCCAGGGACAGCACTGAAACGTTCGTCACGCTCAGTCTTGAAGAGGATCTGGCACCAGAATTCCTTTGCATCTTCGTCGAACCAGAACCAGAATTTGCCCTCTCGCCTGTCGATATCGCGCGACTGCAGCTTGACAGCGACTGTCTCATACGGCTCGCCAGCGACGATGAGGTACTGGTAGTTTGGATCGGGCTCTTCCACCCTCTGCTCGTATGCGCTCATGATACGGACCTTGGGAGTGATGCCGGGTGTGAGGTCTGGAAACTGAAACTGAAACAGCAGTCCGTTCTGGCGCGTGTTCGGGTCGCGCACTTTTGTGATGCGGTACCCGGGTCGTCCAATCTTGATGACGTTCTTCTTGGGCACCACTCCGGCAAGTAGTCCTTGCTGGCCCACATCGTCCCTCTTGCCTTCTCTCTGCTCCTTTGCCGCACGGCGCGCCAAGTTTGTCTGATGCTTCCTTCCTTGTGTATGCGCGAGATACGAGCCATCGTTCTGATGGACTGTCAGACAGAGCCGGCACTCGAAGCTACCGACGTGGTTCTTGAAAAAGTATGGGTCCTTGTCCAGGTCGATCGTCTCGAGCGCGAGCTTCCGGAGACGCTCTCTTCGGTCGGCATTTGTCGCAGACTGCGAGGCGACACCTCCGCCGCCAAACTTGGAACCTGCGCGATTCTGTGAGCGTTAGCAGCTGCTTTCAACCTTTTCCGAGTGCCTACAAACGTACCTGGTAATCCATTCTCAGTCACTCTTGGAGACTTGTTGGTCAATCCAAAGGAACCTCAGATGCTTTGAATACTTTACTCTTACGCGACTTGTGCTTGTTGGGTACAGAGAGGCGGGCAGTGAGGCGCGTCGGTGATGTATGCGCACGCCAGAACTTCTGGAGGCGGCGATCAGGTACCGCGCTAACGCTTTGCGACTCCACTTGCAACGTCACGTGCACGGCTGCCTTGATACCTTCATCTTGCAACGCCCAATTCATGTTGTGACAGCCAATAAACATATAATTTTCCAAAAAAAATATGCAAACACAATTATGACCCTGTGAATCGGGTTAGGATAAAAACGCCGGGAACAACCGAACAGCACTCAAACCTCAGTCGCCCAAGTAGCCGGTAAGCTCTTACACAAGCATCAGTCATGGCAACAGACATGTACCCCGGCAAACGCCTCTCTTATTCCTCGCATCTATGCACCGTCCGCTACCATGGCCCCGTGCAAGGAACCACCGGTACCTGGCTTGGCGTAGAATGGGACGATGCCACGCGCGGGAAGCACTCGGGCTCCCACCAAGGGACGCAATACTTTACGTGTGTCAATCCCTCGCCAACATCAGCCTCCTTTATCCGACCAGCCCGCAAGTCCGACCCGCCGCGGACATTTGTCAAAGCGCTAAAGGCAAAGTATGCGTCTGAAGAGGAGGAAAACGCGGACGAATACACCGAGGATCCACATGTCAAGGTGGTGTTTAATGTGCAGGCGCCGCAGCACCAACAGGAAAGAAAACCGGTCCTGTTCAATGGAAAGCCGGCTGAGGAAATCGGCTTCGATAAGATCAGACGACAGCTGGCTCAGCTGTCCGAGTTGAAGATTATCATCTTGGATGGACTGCGGATGCATCGCCCCGAAGCACGGGGGATCAAATGGATGCAAGATGGCGAGAAGAGCGATGTGAAAGATGCGTGTCCAAAAGCAATCGAATTGGATTTAAGCCGGAATCTGTTCGAAGAGTGGAGAGAAGTAGCGGCCATCTGTGAACAGCTCCCAGACTTGAGGAGCTTGAGGGTGGAGTAAGTTTTTGCGTCGTTGCTATAAATATGGCTTGGGTAGCATACTGACAAAAGTCGACAGCGGCACACGGTTCCGAGACGTAAGCCTTACAGATGCCGAGCAAGAAAGATGTCAAAAGGCTTTTACTGGAATCTCGTCGTTGAGACTAGAAGATAATTTGCTTCCTTGGGCTGACATCGCACAACTCACCCACCTCTTCCCCTCCCTCACCACCTTCTCTGCCTCCAGCAACCTCTACACAGCACTTACGCCGCACACGCCCAACCTAGCGATTATCGATCTGACGCTAGAAGATAATCTCATCACTTCGCTCTCTTCCATCGCATGCCTATGCAAACTACCGAACCTGCAACGGCTGATTCTCAAATCGAACAAAGTCGCAGAAATAGCTGGCGCCGACGCACCAGCACCGCTATTTCCAAAGACAGTGCGAGAAGTCGATCTCTCATTCAACGAGATCACGACATGGGGTTTCATCGAACAACTCGTCCATGTATTTCCTGGCCTCCAGAGTCTACGCGTCTCGCACAATCCCCTGTACCAGTCGCTCCAAGCACCAGACGGACGTGCGCTGACGGCCGACGACGGGTACATGCTTACAGTTGCGCGACTGGGCCAGCTCAAGACATTGAACCACAGTCCCATTACCGAGAAAGAGCGCCTAAACGCAGAGTCATATTATCTGTCTATGATCGCAAAGGAGGTGCAGTTTGCGCCTGAGAACCAGCGCGAGCAAATCCTGAAGACCCATCCGCGATACGAGTGGCTGTGTGAAGAGTATGGAGAACCTGATACCCAGCGTTCTGCGAGCAAGGTCAATCCAAATTCTCTCGCTGCCCGCCTACTTCGAATCAAGTTCTACCTTGCGACCTCTCCGTCTAACGTCTTCGAGACGGAGATTCCAATGGGCAGCACCGCATACACCACCCTGGGCGTCGTAGGCAAGCACTTCCGAATCAAGCCCATCGAATGCAAGTTGATTTGGGAAACCGGCGACTTCATGTCTGTGCGGAAGTCGGCTACAAATATTGTAGATGACGACTGGGATTCAGAGGACAGTGAGGCGGAGATGGGCATGGAGCGCGTGATGCGGGAAGTGGAAATTGTGCCGGGAACCAGGTCGATTGGGACGTGGATTGACGGGACCGAGGCTACCGTCAGAGTAGAAGTGCAGCCAGAAGGAGTCTAGAGGTCGCCGCTGCTCCGCAAAGGCTCCAAATACTGAGTTTGCCTGGACATGGCTCTCCGTCAGCGGAACCACCAGTTAACCTAGCACTCGTAGTTAGCATCTAGCCTCGGACATCAAGTAGTGAACCTACAGAAGCATTTGCGCCTTCTCCAACGCCCCTCACAGCATGCCACCATCCCAAAGGAACGTATAGCGCATCCCCACTTGCTACAGTGATCTCGCATCCCTCTACTCCATCAACACCACCCCCATGCTCGCCCCACACCGCCGTCTCCAGCCCTTCCATCTCACTCCCCTGCATCATCTCTTCCCCCCGCATATTCGCACCGCCGCCCGTTCCCCGTACCCGCAATCGCACCCTCTCAAACACGCCTCTGCCAACCTCCGGCCTCATCATTCTCACCGTCTTCTTTCCCGCCAACTGCACAAACAGGTTTGAATTTGGATCGCGATGTAGCGGGGTCCGCGTCGGCGGTTTTCCCATCCAGAGACTCGAGGCATAGATGTCGCCCCGGGATTTCAATTCGGCGAGGAAATGTACGGGTGTAGGCAAGTCTTCCTTCATTTGTGCCGGCAGGTCTTCCAGCGAATGCTGTGCGAGGTACAATTGGACATCCTGCTCCACCTCCGCGCCCATGTGCGCGAGAAGAAGAGAAAAAGGCGCTTCAATGCGATCAAACGTTGCGTTCTGTGCACTGCCGGGGCTTCGCCGCGTTACTTCCAGTGACACAAATGAGTCGCCATATCTTTCCAAATAAGCCGCGTTTAGCTCCTGCGGATATCCGGAAGGATCAATACCTGATATAAACCATTTCTTGACCGCTGGATAATCCCGAAACGCGGATTTAAAAACAGCAGGTTCATTGGCGTCGAAAGCGGGAATGCTGAGATTCGTGGTGTGATCGAGATATTGCAGAGCTTCTATGGTGGTGAAACGCTGCTTTCCAGACGAATACCGCCGTGCTGAGAGCTTCGTCAAGAGCAGCCGTCGAGAAAGCCGGAACATGGAGGGTTGATAGCAAAGAGTGACGGCATCGTGTTTCCAGGCTAGTGGAAAGAGAGAGAGAGAGCTTGAGCTTGACACGCTCTCACGTTACCCCACACGAGGCACGCCCCGCCAAAACCTGCCCATTGGAAACTTTAACGTCCGTCCTCGCAACAACGCCCCGAAGCTCCGCGCACAAACGCAAACAAACAACGCAATGGCGTCGAAGCAGGGCCAAGCACAGCCCGGCCAGAGTAAGCCCTTGCTCTTCCCACACTCTTGTTCCCAAGGACCGGGCTAACGACAATGCGCAGTCGAGATTACGGCGCTCCCCGTACCCCGTCTCCAGGAACTCAAGACGCAGCTCGACGCCGAACTCACACATCTCTCCAACTCATTCCAGTCGCTGCGTACCGCCCAGTCCAAATTCAAGGATTGTCTGACTTCCATTTCTACCGGCCTTACAGCCTCCACGACCAACAAGCCGCTTCTCGTTCCCTTGACGTCCTCGTTATACGTTCCCGGAAAGCTCACGGATCACGAACATGTGCTGGTGGATGTAGGAACGGGTTTCTTCGTCGAGAAAGACATTGCTGGAGCAAAGGACTTTTACGAGCGCAAGGTCAAGGATTTGGGTGAGAGCCTAAAGGACCTGGAGGCTGTGGTGCAAGGCAAGGCGCAGAATGTCAGGATGGTTGAGGAAGTCATTCGCTTGAAGGTTCTGAATGCCCAGGAAAGCAAGGGTGAAGATCAGGGAAGCTGAAGAGTTACAAGCGACTAAGGAAATATTATGGGGATGGACACAAACAATTGCCGGCAAACAGCACCAGGTTCAAACATGGGCCCAGGAAGAAAGACGGTCGCGCCTTCAAAGTACCGACCAGGACATGAAATATGAGACCACAATTCAGTCGTCAGGATATGGCATGGATTTGTAGAATGAGAAAAGGCACGCATTGCCTGCTCTAGAGCCGCCTTCTTACTTCAGGTTGCTACATCCAAAGACAAAATGCACGAGTGCCTGATACACAAACTCGTATGGATTCCCAGTGCCGCATCCTACCACCCCACTGCTTATATGCCGACGCTTCCTGCAGGACCCATGGTAGAGCTGACAATGGCTGAGATCTGGAGCAGCTTCTCCATGAGGATGCGGATGCCTTTGCGCGGTGGTGATTCGATATCAGGACTAAGAGTGAGGTTGCTTAGTTGCAAATCGCCATCTTCGCCGCTGGCAGTGTACGAGGACTGTCCGTGATCCGGTAGGAACGTCGTAATGGTGTGACCCCAGTCAGCCTTGCGGCCGATTGGAAGACGCTCCAGCTCGCCAAGATAGGTTGCCCACTCAGTATGGCGGACACCAAGACCCCATACTGGTGGCTTTTGTGGCGGGTACGACATGCGCGTGAGTTCGACTTTGTAGCACGTGTCTTTGACCCCGAAAGAGTATATAGCATCCAGACGCCCGCTGGCCAGGTGGCTTTTGACGGTCGGCGTAGCATCCCAATCGGCGAACCTCTCATTAGGCTGAAAACTATAATCAGACCTCATCTTCACTCCTTTTGCAAAGCTAGCCAGGACGGGGGATACACTTTTGGGGGATATGGGGTTCAGAGATTCAAGCGCGAAGTGCCATCCTCGGCTCCTATTCTACGTCAGCGGAGAGATTACTGTCATAGAAAAAAGTACCTACTCTCCCAGTTCTAGCAGGTTTATGTCCATGTGCTCCTTGGGGTTTCTTGCGCCTTGTTCAAGCCGATAGAACCTTGGCGGATTCTTCTCATACACACTCTCATCATCATCATAAATCCAGTCAATCTGAACTACGATTAGACTAAGTGGAGGTGCTACCACGGGACTGGTAACCGGCTTTTGACCGAAAGGCACTGGCCTTCCGGGGTGACGGGTAGGCTCACGCGGTGGCGCAATGGCACTGCTTGGGTCGCGAAACACCCATGTACCTCGGAATACAGGACGCGTCTTATCGAGGGTGTCGGGTATAGAACCAAAATAGCCAGCAGACTTTATGGGCTCGAGAAACTTGGTTGCCGAACAGAGAGACTTCAACATCTGATGGCCTGACGCGTCGTTGGCAAACCTGTTCTATTAGCACACTCCTGAAGAGAAAAGTATTTCCTTACCATTTCTTAACACTCAGCTGAAGCGAACCATCGATAGATTTCAAGAATGCCTCTTTCTTGTATCTTTTCCCAATGTCATTCTCAGTGATTCGTTTGGAGTGGATTGCCAGACAGCCCAGGCGGATGACTAGGTCGTAAGCGCCTTTCCTATGCCTCACAGCTTCGAGAGCCAACTGGAACGCGTGCTGGATCCTCGATAGTTCCGTAAAGTGCATGAGTTCCCCACGGAAACTGCCAGGGAAATCCATGATGCCACTAGGGAGGAGGCGAGGTACAACCCGGTCTTCTTGGTTGGGCCACCACGGATCAGCTCGTTCGAGTATGACTTTCAGTCCCTCCTGGTCGTCTAGAATCATATTTACCGTGTTTTGTAAGGCCATTACGTCGGTCTTGACCTTTTCAATCATGGTTTTGAGCTGCGCTTCAGCCGCTTCGATGTTCGCCATCTCATGAGCCTGGATCTCGATTTGCCATTCACTACTTCTGGTTCGTACGCAGTCGATGTATACTTCGTTGTGCATTCTGATAGGATCCAGAGCTTCGAGCTTGTTGTTGAATACATCTCGAGGCGAGACTTCCTGGTCGTTGAGCTCATCCGGCCAGCGTACAGTCGACTGCTCCCGTCAAAATCACAACATAACATGGAAGAATACAGAGTCACTGACCTTGGACAGAGCCGTCCCACCCTCAGCAACTTCTGGGGCTGGCCCTTTGAAGACTTGTTTGCGCTGGAGCTCTAGGCCCTCAACCTGTTCATAATACCACGCGTTCGCGTCGAATGCAGGCGTCTTGGCCCATGCCGTGGACTCTTTGGACTTGGTGTGTGCATTTGAAATCCACTGATTGATGTATCGGATCGCCTTTTCTAGACCTGCGCCGGTTCCGAAAATCTCAAATTGGTAGATGATGCTTTGATCCCATTGCGCTAAAACGCGGCATCCAGTGTTGACGTGAATGTCGTTGATGATCAAATCTCGCTCGCTGGCACGACAGGAGCGGCGAAACTCGGGAGGAACAGGTATGATTCTGTTCGGCTTCATGCCCCTTAACGCGTTCTGATCAATTGCCGACATGGCAAGCAAGATACTGGATGAAGTTGTGACTGTAGCCGGTTGTGATGCGTGCTGTCTCTTGCTCGGGCAGGAACAGAGTTTTTGTGTGAGCAGATAGCAACGGGGGGGAAACGGCGAAGTGATGTTGTGAGAGTGAGGTGAGGTGACCGCGGATTGGAAAGAGCAAACAGGCAGTGACGTTTCCGAGCCAGCAAGCGCACGGTGATCATGTGCCAGCGGTACAAGCACATTTCTCTCAGATTGGACGGCAGGAAACAAACTAGCCTGTAAATGCTTTTACGGCACGATGGAAGAAATTGTTGAATAATCTCAGAAGAGTCAGATAGGCGAAATGAGAGGCACTGTTTCTCCCCCGTAGAGAAGGTGGTTGGTTATGGATACAACACTGCTCCGTGGAGCTCACCGGGAACTATTTTCGAACAGCATCTATTTTTCAAGATGGACATAATCGAGCAAATAAAAAAATCCATATTTCGCAACATTAGCAAAGGGTGGGATAGCAAGGCTGCATGGTCGGCTTGCTGTGTGGCGGATTGAGCACCAATATCCTTTGGCATATACATTGATCAAGCAAAAAAAAACATTCTTTCCAAGTTTTGACTACAACAAATAAAATGTTGCAACAACGGAAAGTCTTGTAAATGGACCAGAGCCGTTGTCGTGCAAGGCGAGTGAACGTGCACGGACGCGGAGGTGTTGAGTCGGCCTCCGATCCATTTTCTGTGCCTCACCCAACGCCACTACCGTGCAACCCACTCGACCTTACAACGCGCATTGCACTTCGCCCCCGCTGGTGCAGCGCTTCGCAGTGGCACTCAGTGTTTCTGCGAATCCGATTTGCTTTCCAGATCATCTCACGTTGCATCGCAATCCGTCGCCATGGAGTCTATATACATCTCGCAGAAGCTGGTCACGTTTGGCACCAAGAAGGTGTATCTGTATGCGAACCTTGTATGCAAGTTCGACGACGTTGCTGAAACCGAATTGCAGTCCCAGATTCATAGTCGCGCTGGTGCGGACACCTAGATTGTCGCCATACCATGCGCGCTTCGTGGTGCCGCTCCACTTTTCAAAATACGACATCCGCGATTACCTCTACCATGCGTACAACGTCAAGGTGTACAACGTCCGGGCACATGTAAAGCAAATGCCGGTGCGGGATACGCGCGAACAGCCACGGCGTTGGTTCCGCCCTGAATCGATCAAATACATGACGGTGGAGATGGAGCAGCCGTTTGTGTGGCCCGAGGTGCCGGACCTGGAGCCATGGGGTGACGAACAGAGAAAAGCTGAGCTTGCTGACGCGGAAAAGATGGCTATTGAAAGGGAGAAGCGGCAGAATCGGGTGACGCGGGGTACGGCGAGGGAACTGCGAGAGCAGGTGAAGAAGTTACTGTACAAAGATGTAGCGCGGCCAGGGCAGGCGGCTGAAAGGCAGCAACTGCTTGATGAGACAATCACAGAAGAACTAGAGGCAGAGCAGGCAGAGAGAGAAGCGAGGATGCTGCAGCGCATGTCAAGACTGCAGCTGTGGGAGAGGGAGAGGACAGGCAAGGTGGTGGAAAGCGACAAGCGCAAGCACTATGCGATCAAGGCATGATTGAATTGAGCGCTATGTATATATGCTTGTACCATAGGTTTTGGGGAATGGGGTATGAATACTGTAACACGAAAGATGGCTATGTAGCTGGATTACGCTGTGCAGCATGTGCGGTGCGTATTGCCAAGGTACACAGGTTTTATTTCTGAACCAGTATCGAGCCTCGGTATTCAGCGGGAACCAAGCATCACAAGAAGGAAGGAAACCAGGGCTTCTCTGCATATCAAGCAGATAGAGGCTCTACTCGGATATTAGTCTGCTCTCTGGAGCTCACAAAGGTTATCCTTGGTACATGATGCCCAGCAACGGTGACATTTCTCTTGGTGGGCGAGAAGAGGCTTTTCAGCCAGAGGGATGAAGCCGTCGGCGGCAAGGCAGAGCAGGCTCGTCAAGACGGCAACAGCAAGAGAGGCAGGTCGAGGGTCCGAACATGGCTCGACATTGATAGGGTGACGGGCCTACGACGGTGGAATGATGTGCATTTAGCGAGGCGATGGCAAGGGCCAGATGGAATCCCTGTGCGTGATGGTGTCATAGGAGCATGGGAACAGAGAGAAGGCCAAATCAATACGGGCATGTTGCTGGCTCGAGTAAAGTGAGGTGACGACATTGGTGTGCGCGATAAATGTGGTGCATTGAAAAGCCGCAATTCGTGTTGGTGTGTTCCTGAGCACTGGTTGACGTGCAACGGCTGCTACCCGCTGTCAGTAAGCAAGACGGGTTCTTGGCTAAAAAGCTCGTTCCTGGTGCCATTGCCAGTGCCAGTGCACCGAAGAAGAGAGCCCTCGTCCCCAAAGGCTGGAATTCAAAACAAGAAGCCAGAAACCCCTTTTGGGCAGCACTACCGGGCTGTGGTTTCATCAGGCCGCGCTGGGCAGGCATGGTCCAGGGCCGTTATCGACACATATCAGCCCATGCTTGTGGGTAGCAGGAGTATCCTCGCATGTTCGCTGCTGTTCGCGGGCTGCCACGCCACGAGCCAATGGGGCGCCCGTCACGTGGCATCTTTTATCCAGGACCCCTACGCATGTCGGCTCGAGGCTTCGTCATCAAGTCTGGCCGGCTGAGTTGGCAGCGTGCAGCCCCGAAACCGGGAAGTGTGGCTGCGCGGCGAGGGTCATGTGGCTTGAGGAAATGCAGCAGCGCCGACATGCAGCGAGAGCACGAGAGACGAACAAGGGCACTGGCGCGGCTGCCGGCACCGGTCAAGGGTCGGCGGAGGGTGCCGACGAGGGGCTGTGTAGGTGTAGGTGAGAGAGTGAGAGTATGTAGTGAGAGAGTAGTAAGTGAGTGTGAGCAACAGAGGCTAACGACGGAAGCAGAATCCGGTCAGGACCGAAAAGACGAGCGAAACGGGCGCCGAATCATGCGCCGGCCATGGGCATGCCAAACGTCTGTTCTCGTTGGGCGCAGCAGGCGCCAGCCCAACACCCGCCTGCCTGCCATGACGTCATGCCCAGGGCAGGGCCCTAAAGACACTGCCCACCACCACCACCCACGCGCTGCCTCTGCCTCTGCTGCGTCAACCAAACGGTCATCTCTACGCCACCCCACCTGCACATACCCAGACACCCCTTGGGCCCCAGGCCCTTCCGCACAGTCATCATTGCTTGAGCCTGTCGGCCTGAGCCTCTTTAATACCACTGCCTGCCACCGCCCTGCGACCCTCGACACCTCCCCCTACCCACCTTGTCACGTCACTTCGCAGGCACGCTTCCCCCCTCTTTGCAACCGCCTTCCCAACACACACACAGACTTGCGCTGAGAGCCAAGTGAGCTGGTACTGAGCGCCCTGGTCTTCGGTATGTGTTGCTGCCCCGACCCTGCTGCCCGCCTCGTGCGCCCACTAACAAGCCATGCGCAGCCCACCGGATCCAACACGACACCTTGCTCCGCGGGGCCCTTGAGTGAGGCACACAGAGAGAGCTTGCCCAGCGCGGGTACACAGCATCACCATGTCCGAGTACAGTTATGCACCCTCTCGGCACCGCAACCGCGAGCCCGAGTATGTGACCGAGACGACCTACATCGAGCGCGGCGGTCGAGGCGGGGCAGTGCGTGATCTCGCCTACCGCCCCGCGACCCGCGAGGACAGCATCGAAGAGATTCCCCGCGACTTCCCTCCGGGCGCCGAGTTCAGGCAGACCAAGTACCGTGAGGAGTATGCCGTTCCTCGTCGCACCCGTTCCGTGAACCGCAGCTATGACGACGACTACTATGACCGCCCTCGTCGCCGTGACCGTGAACGTGACCGCGAGTACGATGAATACACCGAGTACTCGGAGCGCCCCAAGCCTTCCCGCCGCAAGTCCATCGTCGACCAAGTCAAGGGCATCGGCGAGGCGGCAGGCCTGGGAGGCATCATCGGCGCCGTCACTGGCCGCGACCGCTCTCGTTCACGCGACCGCTCCCGTTCCCGTTCCCGCTACCGAAGAGACGACCGCGGCTATGATAGCGAAAGATACGCATATGACCGCCGAACCCGCTACAGCTCCCGTTCCCGCTCACGCAGCCGCAGCCGACCAGCAGCCAAGGAGAAGTGGGAGCAGGCCGCCAAAGCTGCTCTTGTTGCCGGTGCCGTCGAAGCCTTCCGCAGCCGCAAAGAGCCTGGTCCATGGACTGGTGCCAAGGGCCAGCGTATTGCCACGGCTGCCATCGGTGCCGCTGGTATCGACGGTCTGATTGACCGAGACGGAAAGCACGAGAAGAGACACATTGCCGAATCCGCCTTGGGTGGCCTTGTGACTTCACGCCTCGCCAACGGCTCTCGCTCCCGGTCTCGTGCTCGTGCTCGTGACAGCTCCAGGTCTCCTTCTCGCTCTCGCTCTTGCGCTCGGTCCAGGTCCAGGTCCATCTTCGGACGCTCTCGCTCCCGTGGACGTTCCCGCTCTCGCTCCAGCGACGGAAACAGCAATGGTCTCGCCAAGGTTGCGGGTACCGGCGCCGTCATCGCCGCAGGAAAGGCCCTCTATGATCGTGTGCGCTCCAAGTCTCGCTCTCGCCGCGAGCGATCCCGCTCTTCCAGTTCGGACAGCTACGTACCATCACGCAGGGGCAACCGCCGCTCGTACAGCCGAGGCCGCGGTATGGACGACCAGTATTCCGAAGCCTCTTCCAGGACTAACCCAGATCGCAGACTAGCCGCTCCCGTGGGGGCTGGCGCAGGTGCTCTAGCAGCACAGAGTGGAGGAGGAGAACGGGGTCGATGGAATCCTAGCAGCGATTCCGAGTCGTCCACCGACATGGAGGAAAAGCGCAAGAAGCTTCGAGGTAAGGAACTTCTCACTGCGGGCCTGGCTACGGTCGCTACGATCCATGCCGCGCACGGAGTATACTCTTCCATGGTGGCCTCGGAAAACCGCCGAAAGATGGTTAGCGAAGGCGAAATGTCGCCTGAAGAAGCACGCAAACGCAAATCCAAAAACATGCTCCAAGACGCTGCTGCCGTGGGCATTGCTGCCCTTGGTATCAAGTCAGCCTACTCTGAATGGAAAGAAATGAACGAGCAGCGCCACAGCGTCAAGGAGCTCGAAGCCCGCCGCCGCAAGAGGAGAAAGATAAGAGAACGACGAGAAAAGGAAGCCCGCATGAATGCTCTCGGCAATATGAATGGTCCAGGCGCTAATCCGTACGCATATCCCGTAGCTGCCAACCAGTCCTACCCACCTTCGTCGTATGCGGACCCCAACACATACGGTAGCTCTGTGCCTCCACCACCCATGGGTGCAAGGTACTAGACTCTCCTTTCCTTGAACCTTTTCAACGGTCAATCTCCTTTGTCGTGCCTGTATGATTTGGCGGCATCACGGGTTATCGATTGTCATCTTTTTTTTCATTATTTCTTCTGGTGCTTGGACGAGAGATGGGGGAGTGAGGGGAGATAGGGGGAGACAGGAGGAACTCTATGGTTACTACTCATGTTTTCTTCTTTCCTGCTCTTGTTGCCTTTGTGCTGCACCACCACACCCACTTTCTCTTTATCTATCCCCTTGGCCATGTTTTTGTTCTTGCTTGGATCCCGGGTTCACGAATAATGAGTCATTGGATAATTGACACTTTTCCCCCCAAAGTAGCACGATCATGATGACTTGACGATTGAATGACGATTAGATAGATTTGAGAAGGCAAATGAGGATTGTTTTTCTTTGACTCTTTTTGCTTGTTCTGATCAACTTTTGTGAAATTATGTGCCTTTTATCGAACTAATTATATTTGTTGGGGTTGGAATTGCCTCGTTGTGTTATTCAAGTGTTGAATCACCGTGTACGTAATTACCCCGGAAATTAAACAAGGAAGAAGAAAGGTTGACATGGCTAGAAGGGGAAAGAAAATGTGGATATTGCTGGAAAAGCTAGGTCATGTCTTGACTAGATATGAGCCGCCATACATGAACGTTAGAGGGGGTATATGAAGAGGAAGATGAAAGAAGTATACCTGCCAATCGAGATATGCAGATAGGAAAAATATTCCACTCACACAAGTATTTCAGCACCTCAACCCCGTGGTTTTCCAAGAAATCTCATGTTACAACAAGCAAGCACGCACGCACGTAAGCAAACAATTAAGAAGGCGCAAAAACTCTGACGGCAGCGATTGACATAAGAACCGCAAGGCCTGGAGATACAAAACCTTCACACGCCCCACAGATTGTCATGATCCTCAGCATCCAGGCCGGCATCTTCCTAGTCGCTCGCTGAAATCGCTCATAAAAGTACTCCAGAGCCAGTCCGGCACCTGCGCTTGCACCTGTAAGTAACGTGTTGACCCATCCAAGGCTTTTATCTATGTAGAATATCCAGATTGCGGATCAATATTGAACAGCGTGTGTACTTTCTCTCGTTTATATTGTGGTACCAGAGGGAAAAGGTTCACACAGTGCACAGTATTCTACTCTAAAAAAAACTTCGTAGTGTTTCGTAGCTATGTACTTACAGTACGCGAGAAGCTTGGGAGCGGCGACGTCTGCTCTGCGTCTTGGTTGGATGGTGAACTGTGAGGTGCAGAAACAAAAACACACACACACACACACACAGAGAGAGAGAGAGAGAGAGAGAGAGAGAGAGAGAGAAATGTGATGCCAGCTCGCAGAGGTTGAACAGCACACCAGCTTTAACGACTGCCAATTTCCAAAGCCCACATGTCACAGCAGGCTCATCTTGCGATTACTCGGGCGCGAACGAGGCGTTACCGACAGAAGCGCGATTTAAGCTTGAAAGGTGAGAAGGTAGAGTTAGGGTCTTTGCTATTGCAGACGTATATAAGTATATCTTCATGTACAGTGAAGTGCTAGTTGTTTGGAAAAAGAAAGGCCTCTGTGCTGCTTTTTTTGTGAATTACATACATGTCTCGCGGGCCTGGGTTACACTGGTACAGACTGAGAATCAGACTTCTTATCATGCTTACATGACGATATGAGCTTCGTTGGCGGTATGGCTGCGGAAAGGAAAAAAAAAGAGAAATGCGGGCTGGGTGTGTTATTGTTGTTGAAGGAGCTTAGATAGGCTTGTTTGTAGATGCGCTGTAGCTGGTCAAAAAAGGAGATAGCTGCGTCCTCGAAATGGAAGTATTTTTCTTTCTCGGAATTTTGTTAGCCAGAAGCAGGCATTATCTTTATTAACAGCATTATTAGTAGCGGGGGCAGATCCAGGCGATACTTATACTACACTGTCCTTGTAGGTTCATAGATAGGATTAAAGGGCATCTACATATCTCTTCTTCGTCTGCCAGACACATGCGCCCGCACAAGTCTCGCAGACGTTGTTCCACTATTCGGCTCCGCGAGTCTCAGGCTCAGAATTTTCATTTGGAGCCAAGTACAGCATTCAACTCGCTGCTCATCCAAGTGTGTTGTTTCCCTTCGAAGTTGATTGCGCATGCCCACGCTGACTGTTTGGCTTGTTGGCTCGACAGGGTTATAGTCCACAATCTTGATGATGACAAGTCTGATGATACAGCGGATGAAGAGTTTATCTCGACTTAGCTGCGACGCAAAGCGCGTGGCTACCGTGTAACCAGCAAGTAAATGCAGTAAGAGCTCAGCTGAACAGTGCTTGGCTACCTATGTATACGAGGACAGCGTTCGACACCAAAATGCTGCTATTGTGCCCCCCTCCCTCCCAACGTACTACACACCAAGTGCCCGCCACGTCAAACAGTCCCTAGATCCACGTGTACGATCGCCATCCCGAAGGCGTACAACAGTACTGAACAAGAAGAAGCTGTTTGCCAGCGCGACCAAACCTGCACTCACGATCCCTTCATTTTCCCCCATCGCGAGGAGAAGAAATCTGATTTTTCGGCTTTGCGGTCACGGACACAGGTGGTGGTGGTGCTGTAATCTAGGATCAAGACATGGGACTAAAAGTAAGTAAATAACGAATGGCGCTAGATTGCGTTTTACTAGCTTCGTTCTCAAGCACATGAATAGCTTCTTCTTTCTCGAGCAGGTGCAGGAGATCAGAGATTCTGGAACCTGTCTAGCAATGTAGACAGCAGCTGAGGTATACTTATGCGCGAACTCAGTATGTGAGATTTGGCTCGTGGGGAAAAGGGGGGGGGGGTTTGTCTCGAGCGTTGTTCACAATTGGTAGAACTGTGGAATATGGACGTGGTATCTATACGATAGGTAGCTAATTCTGAATCAATGCAGAGAAAACTACATGTTCTTTGAAGAGAGGAAGCGACACAGCAACACTATCCAGCATCGGCATTGCAACCATTCCTTTCAAGCACATCTAAATAAAAATACTCACCACAAGAACAAGAAGCCGAGAAATCCAGCCCACACACACCCCCTCCATCCTGCACATGCATTCCACAAGCCCACCGAAACACCCACCGAAGACCCAGACACCATGGGCGCCTCCGCCTCCGCCTCTGCACTGTTCACTCCACCATCCACCGCCACTCCACTCACATCGGCAACACCGCTTCCATCCTCCCTGGTAACAACGTAAATGCTACCGGACCAGTCTGAGCTGACGAACAACCTGCCCTTGGCGTCCCAGGCGAGCCCCACAGGGCGGAAGCAAGAAGAGGATTTCGGGCATGCAGAGAGGTCGCGGTCAAAGATGATGTCGGTGCCGGCTGTGGTGCTGTTTGGAGGTGCTGTGGGGGAGCCGTGGCCGTCGAACGGGATGAGCAGGAGTTTGTAGCCCGCGGGTTCTTTCCGGTTCCTGTTGAAAAAAAATCATAATCAGTAGTAGTAGTAGTAGTAGTAGTAGTAGTAGTAGTAGTAGTAGTAGTAGTAGTAGTAGTAGTTGTTGTGTGAGACAGATGAATGGCAAGAAATGCTTACCAAGATCCGTGCATCGTCACCCATGCAGCGGTGCCACTGGGATTGAACTTGATGTCGAGAGGAGCCGTGTGGGCCTGGAGTGTAAGTCTAGGAGCAACATAGTTATTCTGGCAGAAACTATCATTGACAGTTGCATTCTGCTCTCCAATAGCAAACTGCTGACCAACCACGCCACTGTAATCTGCTATCTGGTCTGGGTTCCACGCTGCAAAGCAAAAAGGGTATCCGTAGTTGGCGCCCTGTACAAGACTGTTTGTTCTTGCATCGAGGGGCCCGTGAAAGTTCAATTCCTCGCCTGGATTGTCGTCATTGATGGGTTTCCCGTTTCGGGTCATGTCGTCGACGCTGTTTTCTACAGAGTAGATGGCGCCGGATGCGGGATCCTCGGCTACACCTGCTGAGTTTCGGAGGCCCCAGCCGAGAAGCAGTCCGCTTGAGGCGTGGTCATATGGGGCATCTGTCATGTTGGTGACGTTGAATGCCTTGATGGTAGCTCTGCCGTTGGTCTTATCTACGGTTTGCAGGTCAATGTTGCCTACGCTGCCGCGGGAGACGAGCAGCATACCCGGGGCAGCCTGTGACATGAGCAGGGTACGCGTGGAGTGCTCTTCAAAGTTTCCCATGCCCTGGATGATAACCCGAGACTCAGACGTAGTCTGGCCCCGAGAAGCGTCATAGTCCCAGGCATAGACATTGCTGTGAGACGAGGCGTACAGCGTATTGCCATGCTGCGAGAATGCAATGCCATGATTCAACTACAGTAACTTTTGTTAGTCAGACGTCAGTCATCAGCCCACACGACGGCAGCACTCACGGTCCCATCTTGGACTACCGTTTGCACGTCGCCGTCGAGCTGAACACACGCCCCATCGCCCGTCAAGGCTAGCCTGCTGATGCCATGGTTCCGTTCGACAACTAGAAGCCCCCCTTCCCGATCAAATAGAATACTTCGGGGCTTCCGCAGTCCTTGAGCCACAACCTCGAGCCGGAATCCCGGGGCGACCGAAGGAGCAGCGTTTTGTGGGGCAGTAGGCTTTGGACATGCCGAGACTTGCGCTCTGACCGGGCCTATGAGTGCGGAGGCGCTCAGGGCAGCTGTTAGCAAATGTTTCAGTGCCATTGTTGTTGAGTATTAGTTTCGATGACGTGAGAATTGCTCGTCGATCGATTGGCCTCCAGGCGTTTGCTCGTGTAAGACGGCTGTGCGTCAGCTGCGAATGGCGAGCTGAAACGGCCGTGCAATATGGGAGATGGTGTTGATTAATGAGGAGACGGTGCATGTGCTTTGTAGTCACGACACTCTCTTATGGGTAGTCGAGTAGAGTGCCAGCCCATGGGGAGCAAAAGAACAGTTGCATTTGACAGCTCTTCCCACAGTTCAGGCCGCCACTTGATGCTGCTGGTGTCCTAGGGTACCGGAATCCCTTTCCATTGTGTCTGTCTTGGCTTGCGTTGGATTGTTTCTCTTGGCCCGCACTCGATTGTTTCTCTCTTGGCGTGCAGCGGCTTCTAAGCTGGAGCCATGTTCAACGTCATGAAGTGCCCACTCGAGCAACATAAGCGCAGCCTGCAAACTCAAATCCATCAGGGCATTGCGCAATCGGCAATCCGGTCGGCCCTAGACCCAACACGTCTCCATCGTGCATAAGCCGGCGGCGCCCCGGGACCAGATACGGCTGTGCATATGCGCACTCGCTTGCAGCGGGGAGAGGGACCCAAAGACGGCCCAGCAGGCAGGCAGGCAAGCATTGGGGGCGGAAGACAGCTCCGAGGACCTGTTTGATTTCCTGAAAGTCGATCGTCAGGCCTGGTTCGACAAAAACCGGAATATGCAGGCCAGACGGGCCTTTGCAGACTGGGGGGCGACGCAGATGCATTGCCGGATTTGCCGCTGCCGCCGGCTTTATGACCAAAAGGCGGCATCGGTGTGTTTTGGTGCCTGGCTCGTTGCTATAGCCAACGTCTCGTTAATTGACCTTGTGGAAATGAGCAAAGACGGGAGAAAAGCTGTTAGCGGAAGGGGGGCGCGTGCGCTGAGTGAGAGGGCCTGGTTCTCGGCCGTGGGATGCATGTGAGGGCCATGAGCGGCACGATTCGGTACGAAGATCAGGACCCGCCCGACGTATACATATGAAACGCAGAAGCGATGAAAATCTTACGATCCAAGGGCAATGGCGCCTCGCTGCGGTACCTGCGTACCTTGCTCGTCAAGACTGCACGCGTGGGGATGGCAACAGTAGCGTGTGACTCGGTTGTGCGTCTGCGTTAGTTGCTTTTTCTTGCCTAGCAACGGCTCCGAGGCTGTGGGAGTGTTGCTATGTATGTCCAATGTCATCGGCGCCGCCAGTCCAGCTCGTTGAGCGCACCGACATAACCGTCGTGCGCTAGAAGAAAAAACAAATACGGCTGTCTGCAAGCGCCGCTTTCCGAGCTTATCAGCCTCGATACACTGGCCTAAACTATAGTGTGTAAGTGAGCGAGTCAGTTGCGCCGGCCGGATTACATACACCGCCCTCACAACACCACCAAGATCATCACCAAGTGGAGAGGACCGTTTGTTTCACAAGTCATGTTTGCAATGCCGTGTATTCGCGTCTCGGCCGACGCGCTTGATTGTAGCTGTCATGTATCAATGCCATGGTTGTCGACAACCCTTCATGTGGTTCAAGATGCCAAAGATCGAGAACGCTGCAATGAAAAAACAAAGGAAAAACCACCCCATTTCCGCTTTTATACACGATGCAAATCCCGGAGGAAAGCGGCTCCGCAAGCTGCACGGCTTGCCTTTCCTACCCAGAGATTATTGTATGCTCAGCGACCCAAAGGAAATACCATGTCCCTTATGCGCCATGGTTCTCGATTAAACAAAACAAAAGCGAGCATACTCGGTGGTTGCTCTTCGTGGCATGTGCCTCTTCTTTCTCCGTGTGAATCCTGGCTGTGCATATGCTGCAAATTATGCAAAATAAAGTCGCAAAATACCGTGCCGCTTCATGTCCAGTTCTCGGCCTGACACGATAAGTCGGCAATGGCGAAATTAGTACAGGCAAACAATTGATCGAGCCGGCACAAGTCGATTCTTCCACCAAATGACGATATTTTCGCCCCTCAGGCCTCTTCGATACCACGCAAGTCGAGTTCTGACACCAACCCAGCTATCCAGGACATCAAGGCTGTTATCACGCGGCCTCGCAAAGACTCGGAAGCCAAAGCGCGTTCCGTGATTGAAGCGCTACAGAAAAGGAGGAGCATACACGACCCAGTACCGGACGCACCACCGACGCCTTCTTCCAAGAAGGTTCCATTTGACACTGCCACACTACGACGGATCGTGCCATACGTTAACTCCTTGACGCGCAAAGTCAAAGACACTATTCGGGATGCGGAAGGCTTGTACTCAAGCCCAGCCGCAAGCCCAATGCACGAAGAGCCGCAACTCGACAAGGTCTTCCAGCAAGACGCGGATGTTGCAGCTCAGATGAAGCTCATGACAGTCATGTAGGCTCATGAAGACGACCCCGCGATGGGGCTGCTACGAGCAATAATTTAAGAAGAGGGGGGGGGGGCATGAGAGATATGATTCATTCGGTGCTGGCCACACTTGTCACGGCAAAAGTTTGAGCAGAGGAACAAAAAGTTTCACCTGGGAATATTTGCATTTGGATCGTCAGAGCGTTCGAGCGACGATTGAGCCACGCGGGTGTGGTGATGGCATGGGGCTTTTTCTCTCGCCTTGGTCTGGGCTTTCTGATTTGCGCCTTCCCCTGCCGTGGCTGGGGCTCGCCGACGGGTCCTCAAAGGCACCCTCGTCAAAGTCTGGGGATGAGGGCGGCGACGGATGAGCAAAGCCCTGGTGGTCAGCTTCTTGATCGGCCAGATCTATCATCGCATCCACCTCTTCCCACATGCTAGCGTGCGCCCCGTCCAATATACCAAGCGCCGCAGCGCGTACGCGGTGCTCTTTGAGCTCTTCAATCAACAGCCCCCACTCGCGAAGCAGGCCAATGTTGGCCAAAACATTGTTCTGCTGTTCTTGTATGCTTTTTGGTACCACCATGGATGTGCCGCTGTCGACCCTAGGAGAAGCGTCGCCCTCTTCCAGCGGATCCTCGTGAAGCTCGGTAAAGTCAAAGTCGTCGTTCCAGTCTTCCGTGACACCCTTGCTTCCAATCCCCCAGGTGCCAAACTTGTTGGTGACGACCGTGTTACGCTTACCAAGGAGGTCTGGGACGACGGGGACACTCTGGCTGCGTGCGTGTAACCCGCTGGGTATGCGCCGGCCAACCGAACGACTGCCTCTGCGGTCTGCGTCCTTTTTGCCGTGCACTGTCCGAGGCCGCGGCGGCGTGCGGTCGCCTGACGTCTTGTCGGCCACCTGCTGCTCGGACCAATCGAAGATGCTGCTGCGAGTGTCTCGGTCACCAAACTCTGATGTGAGATGGTGTGGCGTCGTGGGCTTGGAGGAAGCGCCAGACGCCAGACGACGGGCGCCCTGGGGTAGCAGCGACAAGGTGGAGAATGTATGAGTGACTGTGGGAGAATCAACCCATGGGTCTTCAGTGTCGGTGTCGTCGAGGGACCACCTACTGCTATCGTCGTCGGTCTCGGGCCTGCAGTCCCACGCCAAGGTACCCAGCGACAGCGGCTTGGGCATGCTCGGGGAAGACGACGAGACGGCGTTGGGGAAGAGCGGAGCGCTGCGTGTCCGGGCAAAGCTGGGGGATTCGTGCAGCGAACGGTCGGGTCGCATGGCCCGGACTGGTGTTGGGCTGCTTTCTTCTTCCTCGGCGATACTGTGGTGGCCAGCAGCACCATGGGCGGCGTCGTCTCCAAACAAGCCTGGCGGGAGCAGGTCGCGCAGGGCGGTAACCTTGACCTTGGAGGGGGGTGACTCGTCAAATATCGTCTCTATCCGCGAGCCACGGACAGCGCCCGTTGTGCTTCGGGTTGCGCCAGTGCGCAGCGAATCAAAGCACGTGTCGCTCTGGATGTCAGCGTCGTCGTCGTCGCCGAAGCCTAAGCCGCGAAGTTCATTATCAGACGAGCCGACCAATGTCGAGCCTTGTTCGGAGGGGACCATGGAGTGACGCGAGGCCCGGAGTCCCGCTTGCGCTAGGGTAGGGGATGATGGCGCCTGATTGGCGTCTGGTGCGGCTGAGTGACCCTCGACATCCTGTGGCATGAACGCCAAGCCCTCGACAGAGGGCGTGCCGGCGCTCCTGCGACGGGCAGCGGGGGCAGGCAAGGCAGCCGACGACGAGGCATCTGGGGATGCATGGCGTGCCGTTGCCGCATCGGTGGGCCCAGCTGATGTGGCAATGTCGCGCCTAGCAGCAGGCGCCGACTCAGGCACAGGGCGGCGGGCCTCTCCATACGAGGTACTGTGGGGTCGTGTGTTCATGGTAGTGGTAGCAAGAACAGGTGCTGAGCGGACCCGCTGCGTCGCTCGGCGCAGGAGAGAAGACTTGGAGACGCCGGCTGCCAAGTGCTTCTTGGACAGGGCGAGGAGGTCACTGAGCGAGGAGCGCTTGGGTCGCGATGCATCGTCGGGCTGCTCCCTGGCCGCCAGCACGGGAATGCTCAGCGGCGTCTCTGGCCGACTGACCAAGAAGACGCTGTCGTCGCTCGTCGAGTCGTCGAGTTCGGGCGTGCCTGCTCGGACAGACTTTGCCAGCACGAGGGCGGGCAAGTGCTTCTCGTCGGGCACGACTCTCTTGAAACCGCTGCCCAGCGTCATGGACCCCCGCTTCCTAGTCAGCGTCCGCTCCTTGGTGATCCTGGTCGTGAAGAACTGCGTGTACTCGGCGTCGCAGTCGGCGCGCGGCGAACACAGGCACTCCCTCGGCGCGCAGTCGTCGGTCGGTGTCGGGAGCGGCATGGCACTGCTGTTGCTATGGCTGCGGCTATGGCGGGCGTGCAGCGCCGTGGTGCGTTGGTGACTGGTGGCCGGGCGGCGGAGTGAAGGGCGTAGAGAGGGAGCAGCGGCCTGGGCCAATTCGTCGTGAGACGGGCGTATCGAAGATGAGCGCTTGACGAGTTTGTTGCGCGGCACGGGCGATGCCGAGCGCATGCCGAACATGGGAGTGAGAGGGCCATCGTGGGAGAAGGCCATTGAGCCATTGGAGCACGAGACGGGCGGGGAGAGCGGCGCCGGGCTGGTGTTGCGGCTCGACGAGTTGGAGATGGCCGAGAGGCGCTTGATCCACGAGAGCCGTCGAGCGGACGGGAGGCGTGTGGTGTCGGCGTCGGATGTGGACAGCTCGCTGGGCGCATAGTTGCTGAGGCTGCCGAGGTGCAGGGCGGGCACGTCGCTGCTCGTCATTCTCCTTGCAATGCGCCTGTGGAAGAGGGCATTCTGGCTGGGGCGAGTCGCGAGCGGTACATGTGAAGGCTGCGCGCCGGGCATGGGGACGCCAAATGACGGCGCAGTGGCAGGCATTGCAGGCGTCTGCACGGCGGCCGGCATGGCGGGGGCGGCCACGGGGTGTGTTGGTGCAGCCTCTTTGGTGGTAGTGGAGGTGTTGTTGTTGTTGGGGCGGGATGAGTCGCCGGGCGGGATGCGTCCAAACGACAGACCAACCGCGGATGTACCAACGACAGTGGCAGTGGCACAAAGCTGTATCACACGGATGCATCAGTTATGGCGCCTAGTACAAATTCTGGTGGTGGCAGTAGTAGTAGTCGTGGTGGTGGTGGTGGTGGGGAGGATGGGAGGCGGCGGTGTTCGGCGGCGCGGCGATAGTGGCAGCGGCGCGCGCCCAGAACGAAGCAGCAGACATTGTGATATATCAAAACAAAACAAGTTCGGTGCAGCGGCGGGAGCGTTTTTTTTTCAAACTACGGAATGGGGAGAGAGAAAAGAGAGAGAGAGGCAGGGCGTAGTTACCGATGGAACCGTTTTCATTCTCGCAAAGAACCAGGCCGCCGGGGATAGGTCAGTCGTCGAGGCGCCTGTGACGACTTGTCGAGCATTATGGCATGTCGAGAAGGAGGCTTTGGGGCAGACCACGGATCGCGAGGTGGACGAACGGGGGCGGGAATGGGGGCGGCGCGTGGAGCAGGCGGTTGGACAAGAGGGTGGCACCAAGGAGCGTCGCAAAGGAAGGACGGCACAAGCACCAGCACCAGGGCGGGAGGTGGAGCACACACGACGAGAGCGAGCGGACGGGCGCGTGGTGAAGAAATGCAGCGCAGTGCCTGTCCTGTCGTGTGTTGCTGGGATCGACATACAGGGCTTCCCAGCGCACATTGGGATTAGCGACCAGCCGCCGATGGCGAGGGCGAGGGCGAGGGCGGAGGGCTGATGGCGGCATGTCGAAACACAGCACGGAGGCGACACAGGCCGCATGCCTCACTCTGCGCCGTCATAGCTCCAGCGGGCCCGTCGCTCAGTCAGTGTGTCGGCCGCGCGGGCCCATGAGTGTATAGTTGCGGTAGTATGTACGGTATAGTGTCTACATGTATGTGTAGTGTGTGCGGGCGTTCGCTATGGTGTGTTTCCCCCCTCCCCCCCCTATCGTATGGTGCCCTGGCGCATCTGGATGTATGGCTGCGGGCTATACCACGTTGCGCAGGCGGGCAGGCAGGCGAGCGAGTAGGCGGCGGCGAGGCCTTGGCAGCAGGCCGGCCCAGCGCAATCAGGGACAAGGCTGGACATGGGCACAGAACAGGGAAAAGAAAGGAAAAGAAAGGGAAAAAAGGCTCAGGGAACCGCTCCCTCGCCGCGACTCGTACTACTGTACTGTGCATACGCCGTACATGCACATGCGCCAACACCACAGCTATCCCTCCCAGGGCCGCGACAGCCCCGCACTCGACGATGCATCCACATCCAGGAGCTGCTGCTGCTGCTGCTGCTACCCAAATATAGCGTACCAGCAGCCCGCCACGCCACGACACACGGTGATTGGCAGCCGCCCGCTGAACCGCCTGGAGAGACCCCTGCCCACGCCCGGTCGGTGGTGGACGTGTTTGCTGATCCCCAAGTCCAAGTGTCAACCGCCTGCTGCAGCTGATCGGGATAGGCGTGGCCGTGGTAGCGAGGCGAGGCGAGGACATGCACACACTCTACACTACCTGCCTACTACCGCCCTGCCTACTACCGCCCTGCCTACGACCGACCTACCTACACAGGTGTACATACATACAGGGCGCCATGGCAACCTGCTCGCCATGCACGGCATGCCTCCTCCGACCGCCGCCCGCCGCCGAGGGGCACACTCGGGCATAGCAACCCGTGGATATTGCATTGCCGGCTGCACTCGACGGGCTAAATGGCGCACCAATTGCGCTCTTGGGCAAGCTCGTCGCTGTCGCCATCCCTGATAGCCGAAACACTGAGCACGTCAGCCCCAGAGCGGAGTAGCCCATGCTACACGCCCACCACAAGATGCTGCATACGGCCTCGTCGACGCCAGCCACCAATTTGCCCTTGGTCTTCTCCTTGCAACAAGCCGCTGCTGCTGCTGCTGCCCGACGTCTGCGCCCTTGGCCAGCCAACGCCATGGTGACGACTCCATGTATCCGTCGTATCAATACCACCGCCCAGCCATGGACGTCGTGTTCTGGCCAAGCCGCCCTGGCGACCGACCCTGGCTAGCGAACCGGCTCATCCATGGTCAGAACATGAGCCACAGGCTTGATCCTGTGTCCGCAAACCATCCACGCCGTTGTGCCCCTCGCTCTACACGTACGTGTACACGCAGGTGTAGCACCACCAACACTACGAGTAGTCGCCACAGAGTTTATCCGCCTAGTGTAGCTGTAGCTGTGTGCTTGGTACCAAAGGGCTGCGCTGACCGCCTCCCCTCGTCATGTGATGCCTCTGCTCCCCCCCAAACACACGTGCACCTACGTACTTAGTATCTGGGTACACACCCCAGTGCATGACTACATACATACATACTCCTTACATAGACACATGCATACATACACCACACGCATGCCCGCCCGAACCATACTGGCTGCACATCGCTTCTTCAGCGCCGCCAGCGCCGTGGTGCAGATCCGCCTCTTGCGAATCCGCCGCCTGCGGTGGGCGTGGGCGTGGGCGTGGGCGTGCATGTAGTCATGGCCTGCATCCGTCTGTCTCATGGCCCCCCGCCCTGATTGGCCGCCGCCGCATCCACTACCGGCTGCCCACGTCAAAATGTTCTCTGCCACTGCCTTGGACAAACCCAAAACGAGCCCGTCCCACCCCCCGACGCCAATCTGAATCCAAGTCTACATACGCCTGCTCATCTTGTGCCCCGCCATTCTACCGGCCCTCTTGGCTGCCTGTTCCTGCGCACGCCCCCCCCCCCCAACCTCGCCAAAGACGCCACCCACTGCCAGATCGACTGCCCGCCCACACTGACACTCGGTGGGACAGCGCACCGTCCAGGATCTTCCCATTCAACCTGCAACAAACCATGGACTCCGAAATCAGAACCCACATCCCAAACATCGATCCCGTCCTGTCCGAGTACTCGGCCGGCTACCTGAACCATGCCGCCACCCAGTTCACCTCGGACGCTGACCCCAATGCCTCGTCGCCCCTCGACGAGGCGGCGGCGGCTGTGAGCGCACTGCTGCTGTCTGCCTCGGGCGACCTCTCCCCCCAGAACCAGGCTAGCATCCAGAGCCTCGTCGACAAGTTCGTCGCCCGTCTGAGCTCGGCCAATGGCACCGACGGCGAGCGTCGTCAGATGGCGCCCTCTGCCAAGAAACTCGACCAAGCCATCCACGTGGGCTCCGCGAGGAACATATCCTCGACCATGGGTCTCGCCGGCGGTGTAGTCGATCTCGAGTCTGCCAACACCCGCAAGGTCGAGTCGAGGGTCGACCGCAAGAAGCTCGAAAAGGCCGAACGCAAGCTGCGTGCCAAGCAGGACCGCAAGGAGTTCAAGAATGTCGAGTACGAGGCCTCGAAGCTTCTGAACGAGCCCAATGAGACGCAGAGCTACGAAGAGTTCTACATGGCCGTCAACCCGCTGCAGCTCGGTGACTCGGCCAACAAGAGCAAAGACATCAAGATTGACAGCTTTGATCTCACCATGCCTGGCCTCCGCATCCTGACTGACAGTTCGTTGACCCTTGCTTACGGCCGACGATATGGTCTGGTCGGCCAGAACGGCATTGGTAAATCCACGCTGCTGAGGGCCCTGGCTCGTCGTGAAGTGGCCATCCCAACGCACATTTCCATTCTGCACGTAGAACAAGAGGTCAGCTCCACCCAGCTACTCGCTCCGATTTCATGTACTGATGCTTTTTTTTTCTTTTGCTGAACAGATTACTGGTGATGACACACCGGCACTACAAGCCGTCTTGGATGCCGACGTCTGGCGGAAGCATCTTCTCAAGGAGCAAGATGTATGTAGCTAGGCCTAACGTGCAGCAGAAGCAAGCAGCTAACCGCCCCTAGAAAATATCAAAGGAACTTGCCGACATTGAAGCAGAGCGTGCCACTCTGGCGGATACCTCTGCTGATGCTGAAAGACTAGACAAGCAGCGTGAGGGTCTTGACACGACTCTCAGTGATATCCACGCCAAGCTGGCTGAGATGGAGTCTGACAAGGCAGAGTCGAGGGCTGCCAGTATTCTGGCAGGTCTTGGTTTCTCTCAGGAGCGACAACAGTTTGCGACAAAGACGTTTTCCGGAGGTTGGCGAATGCGACTGGCCCTGGCTCGTGCCCTCTTCTGTGAGCCCGACTTGCTGCTGCTCGACGAACCGTCCAACATGTTGGACGTCCCCTCGATTACATTCTTGGCAAACTATCTGCAAGACTACCCCAGCACTGTGCTTGTTGTATCTCACGACCGAGCGTTCCTCAACGAAGTCGCTACCGACATTATCCACCAGCACTCGGAGCGGCTGGACTACTACAAGGGCGGCAACTTTGATTCCTTTTATGCCACCAAAGAAGAGCGCCGCAAGACGGCGGCGCGCGAGTACGAAAAGCAAATGGCAGAGAGGGCGCATTTGCAGACCTTCATCGACAAGTTCCGGTACAATGCTGCCAAATCGTCGGAAGCTCAGTCGAGGATCAAGAAGCTGGAGAGGATGCCCGTCCTTACACCGCCCGAGGCCGAGTACTCTGTGCACTTCAAATTCCCCGAGGTGGAGAAGCTGTCGCCTCCTATTATCCAAATGACGGGCGTCTCGTTTGGGTACTCCAAGGATAATATTCTACTGAAAAACGTCGATCTCGACGTGCAGCTCGACTCGCGTATCGGTATTGTCGGGCCCAACGGTGCGGGTAAAACGACTGCGTTGAAGCTGTTGATTGGCGCGCTGCAGCCGACAAGTGGTCTCATTTCACAGAACCCGCGACTGCGCGTGGGCTTCTTTGCGCAACATCACGTGGACGCGCTGGACCTGAATGACAGCGCCGTGGGCTTCATGTCGAAGAAGTACCACGGCAAGGCGGACGAAGAGTACCGCCGCCATCTCGGCGCCTTTGGCATCACAGGCATGACGGGACTGCAGAAGATGGCTCTGCTGTCGGGAGGACAAAAGTCGCGTGTCGCCTTTGCATGCCTGGCGCTGCAGAACCCGCACATTCTGGTGCTGGACGAGCCGTCGAACCACCTGGACATTGAGGCCATGGACGCGCTCTCGGATGCGCTCAGGAACTTCCAGGGAGGCGTGCTGATGGTCAGCCACGACGTGACGATGCTCCAGAACGTGTGCACCAGCCTGTGGGTGTGCGACAACGGGTCGATTGAGCACTTTGAGGGAACGGTGCAGGACTACAAACGGCGCATCACGGCACAGGCAAACGACGCGGGCGTGGTGAAGAAGCATTAGGGGGTTTAGCTAGCTACGAGGCGCAACAGCCTTGCACGACGCTCTAGACGCAATACAAGCATGTGACGACGTGCGCGCTGGTGTGGTGCTTGACCTATGGGCTTGTGTGGTGTGTAGGGCATGCGCCGGTTGGGCGAGGCTGGGCGCGCTAGGCCGGATTGGGCGGCGCCTGGAGAGAGTGTAGTGTGTCCAGGGCTCCGCGTCCACCACCCACGGCCGGCCATCACTCGCACCCACGTTTCCCGCCAACACAGCACGACGGAGCAAACAACCATCTCGCCTCCTGCACCCGCCCCGAGCCTGTCCGCTGCCCCGCTGCCTCATGCGCGTAGCTGTCTCGTCGACTCGTGTGCGCTCCCGTTTAATTGACGGCGCCTGCTAGCGCGCTTGCCCCTTCGACCTCATTGTCTGTGCCGTCCAATACAACACCTCGAGCCACCGGCACCTTGTCTCGCACGCAGGCTCCCAGCACCGACGGCTTGTCCGTAGTCACTCCTTTGCCTTCTGATTCCACCCATCGCCCGCCGTCCCCCTCGCCGCGCCACGTCTCCGTCTCCGCCTCCGCCGACAGCGACGCTGCATCATCGACGGCCGCCGAATCGCCATATCCCCCTCCCTTCTCGTCGCTCTTCTTCCCGTCCGAGGACGCTGAGGAACGCAGCAAGCTCGAGGAATCCCCGCAGGACGAGTCGCCACCCGCATTCACCTCGGCGCCCGGCTTTGCCCCGTCCGAGTCGTCTGCTGCCGCCGTAGCTGCTACCAAGGCCGCGCTTCCCCACGACACCAAGGACGGCTCTAGCAGCAAGGACCTCGACGACGGAGAACCCCCGCCGCCCTACAGCGAAGGATCGAGCCCGCTCGAGTCGTTTACCTACGTCATGGCATCTGCAGGAGGCCCCGCGAGTATCATTACTCAGGTATCGCAAACCAGCGCCGCGCCGCCCATCAACACGCTTGGCGCATCTGATGAGAATATCACGTTGGAGCTGAGGTGCGCATCCGTCGCACAACGCAAAGTACCGAGAAACTGACCATGTTATGCAGAGGCACGCGCTTCACGCTATCGCGCGACGAGCTTCTCACCCTTCCCGAGTTTGTCCTCCTCTCCCTGTTCCCCAATGGCCTCCTCCCGGACGGTCATATGAACTCCTACCACGAAGGAGATGTCTACCCAGTCGACGTTGGTAACCCTGTTTCTTCTTGCTTCCCCTCTCCTCCATTGGCCACTGTAGCCAAGATCCTACACCACCTCTCCAAACCCACATTATACTTATCTGACAATCTCTATCATTCACAGTACGATCCAAACTCGCTGCAGTACATGCTCGAGTTCTTCCGCACCGTGGCCCAGACCATCCCCGCAACGCCTTCTCCGACGACGGCCTCTGAGCATGCCGAAGCTGTGCCCATTGAGCCTATGCACGGCTCTGCCAGAGACATGCTCCAAGACCGCGCTGGTATCATTGTGCTTCGCGAAGATCTCGACTTTTATGCAATCCCGCCCCACCGAGACATTACCCAGCCCGAGATGATTGAGGTCAAGCGAGCTGCAGGTGAGGCCTTGTTGCGGCAAGACGGTATTTTCTCTGGACTTAGGAAGAGCGAGGAGCCAGGAACGACTGAGCAGCACCTTATCGAGATGCTGACCGCTGGGTAAGTCAACTGTCGGTGCTACGCGACTCAATTGCTAACGAGATACAGCGGCTTCAACCACGATGATCGATGGGGCCATCGTGCTGGGGAACCCAACAAGGCCGTCATCTGCAGCATTGCTCTTGCGCGCCTGAGGACGGATATCAAGGGCAACGATCTCGCCAATAGCAACGCTGTCGGAATGGCGCAGAAGCTGTTGCTCTTCTGGAGGAAACCTGCTCGTCGCTGCTGGTGGGAGGGTGTGGAGCTTGAGAATGTCCGAGGTGTCGAGGGAAAGCTCAAGGTGTGGATAAGGCGGGTCTGGACTCTTGAAATGGTAAGTTGCCCTGGTTTTGAGGTTGGGAGCATTTGGACTCTGCTAACATGAACCCCCTCTAGAGCGTCATTGGCCTTCGCTAAGACGGATGGTGTGTTTATTTCGACTGTAAACATTTGTGGCGTTTCCCTTTTTTTTTTCTTCATCTGATGTTTCTTTGGTGGGCATCGTTACCGTCGATGAAAGAAACACCAGTCAGTTGATCCGTTTCCTAAGTGTGTTTTTTCTTGATACCTCTCTCTCTCTCTCTCTCTCTCTCTCTAACATTGATCCCCTTGCCCGCCCGTTATCTGTTGTAGGTGAACCCCTTTTCCTTCCTCCCTCCTTCCCTTCCTCCCTTCCCTCCCTTCCCCCCTCCCCACTAGCCTCTTCCTCTCCCTCTCCTCCATCTTTTTTCTTCTCTTCCATAGCAAGCGTTTTTTTTTCTCTTGTCTTGCCAAGAACAAACTTAATCTATGAGGAGAGAGAGAAAGACTAAGAAAATCAAAGTCGTTTAACATATATATATATATATAATCGGGACCTTTTGTTTGTATAGTAATGTCGTCGTCGTCGTTGTCATTGTCGTTTTTTTGGTGGTGGTGGTAGTTGTGGTGGTGATAGTTGTGGTGATAGTAGTGGTGATAGTAGTGGTGATAGTAGTAGTGGTACGTACATGCTACTTACTTAGTTAGACAGATGGGCAGATCGAAAAAAAATGTAGGCTTTCAAGGGCGAGCGATTGATTTTATTTTATTTTATTTTATCTAGTTTGATGTATGTTGTAATTATACTTTTTGTTTTTCTGTGTCTGTGTCTGTGTCTGTGTCTGTATGTGTGCGTTTTTATGGTGTGTGTGTGTGTGTGTGTGTGTGTAGGGGGTTCTATAGGAGGCGGGTTTTGCGAGAGGAGGCGAAAAGAGGCGAGGGGAGTGTGTTGGTGTTGGGTAGGTAGGAGTAAAGTAAAGTAAACTCAAGTGAATCATTATACATATTCCAAGTATTTGTATCTTTTTTTTTGTTTCCTTTCTTTCTTATCTTGTTCAACGTCTCGAATACTTGGGCGAAGTACATGGCTATTTGCGAGAGAGAGAGAGAGAGAGAGAGAAGAGTAAGTATAGTAGTTTGTTCTCCTTTCTCTCTCTCTCTCTCTCTCTCTCACACACACACACATACACACATACGCTATGCTATTGCTATACTATGCTACATAATCTTTCATCTCCTAGGTGTTACATACATATACAACATCAACTATATACATCACTCTCGCACTGCGCCCTTGTAACTTGTAGGAATGCGGAAAGCGAATTTAGATATGGATAGATGGGTTTGTGGCAGTGCTAGGGAGGATATCGTGATGTGATGTGATGTGATGTGAAGTGTAGAGTGATTTGATGGAGTGTGATACAATGGACTTGATGTGATATGTATGATGGAGTTTGATACATCAAGTCGAGATTCGTCGTGTATCATGGAAACTGGAAATGGGAAGCAGATGCGGGAAGCGGGAAGTAGGTGCGGAAAACGGAGAGCGGAAATAAGAACAAGAGAGAAGGAAAGGAAAGAGATTCAGGGGTGAGAATGACAGCGCCGACGACGACGACGACGACCACTATGACGGACGAAGAGGGGCAAAGGGGAAAATAAGCGTGGATTGAGTACCGAGTAAGGTAATTACATAGGTAGGTGTATAGATAGATATGTAATCCCCAGCACTCTCTATACCAAAAAGCTAAAATAAAGTGGTGTGCAAAGAAACCCCCCCCCCATTGCAGAAATTGAATTACAGATCGTGGAAAAGAAACGTCGCGTGCACGTGGAACTGTTGAGATGGTAAGAGCGGGAAAGCTTGAGGACATGGGAGAGAAAGGAGGGAGAAAGGAGGGAACAAGTAAAAGCTGCATCCCCCCCCCTTTTTTCCCCAGATTAGCACTGGGCGAGTACATGTATAAGTCTTGTATTCTATGTACTTTCTTGCTTAGTGAGTTAGTTGGTTAGTAACTTGTTTTTTTTTCCATACTTTCGTTTTTCATAAAGTAGTGGTAAGTACGAGCGGACTAGATAGCTAGATACCTATGTAGATGACAAGAAAACCAGGAATAACAATATTTCTCTAAAAGAGAGAAAAAAAATAAAACAAACGAGTCAAGGAAGAAAGGGAGTAAGGAAGAGAGGGAAAGGAAGGATAGAAGAGGATATCAGTTTTTTTTTTCGAAAAAGATTTAGTTGATCTGTTGTCTCTGTCTTCCTCTCTCTCTCTCTCTCTCTCTCTATCCATTTATACCATCTACCCTATGCCCTTCTCACACACACACACACACACACACACATACCACACCCCCTACATACTCCATACTCCACACCCCCTTCCAATTCCAATTCCAACCCCAACCCCAACCCCAAACCCAACGCACCCATAGCCAAACACACACAACCACCAAAAAAACCCCATCACATGTATCACAATAGTTAAAGTAACACGATAATTTAAAAAGAAAGATCGTGTTGTGTTACAATGAATCAATAGATACATGGATAAATACATACATACATGCATGCATGCATGAATGAACACAAGGACAGCGTATAAGAGTACAGCATATGTAGAGCGGAAAGACGTGGGTGTGGCGTGCATGCATATAGAGATGCAAAGTATAAATGAGAGAACACGTCTTTCTCCAATTTAAGATGCATGTGTTCAGATGTAATCCATGTGCAAACGAGCAAGACATGCATCGATATGTCGTGAGAGGCGATACATGCATGTAAACGGGCATCTACGGAAAGGTACATGTTGTGACTAGGTCCAACGTTGCACGTGTTTCACGTCTTACAGACACGACACATGTCAACTTGTCAGAACAGCCTTGTATCACATTGAAGCACTTGGCCGAAATCAATCGTCAGAACGGGCATGGAGACCCGCATTACTCTGTATTCTTCAGTCTGCCCGTAGACAGCTTTCCCACTAATCTCACTCTGCGTGTAGAACGCAGTCGTCTACTCATATTTCACTCATACAGGGGTATCACCCTCATCCTGGCCATGGTTGAAGGGCCAAGTAGATGATATGCAAAACAACGCCTTTTGAACCGTACCCCGTCGAGCCCCAGGCCCGATGCTATGCCGTTGAAGACAAATAACTTTTTTCGAAGTGGTATCATCCCAGTTCATAACGTCGTGTTGAAACTTCCCAAACGCTGGACAATAAAAAATCTAGTAACGGTAGATGTCGCTCTTGAAAGGACCCTCGACAGGGAGACCAAGGTACTCGGCCTGCACGTCGCTGAGCTTGGAGAGCTCGACGTTGACGTGTGCAAGGTGGAGAAGAGCAACTTGCTCGTCGAGAATCTTGGGCAGAACGTACACACCCACGTCGAGCTTGCCGGTCTTGCCGAACTCGACGTACTTGTTGCCAAAAGCCTCGTCAGAGGCCTTGTACAGCATGATCTGGGCGAGCACCTGGTTGGTGAAAGAGCAGGACATGACAAACGAAGAGTGGCCGGTAGCGCATCCCAGGTTGACGAGACGACCCTCGGCGAGGAGGATGATGTGGCGTCCGTTCTTCATCAGGTAGCGGTCGACCTGGGGCTTGATGCTGGTCACGGACTGGGCGTTGGCCTTGAGCCAGGCAACATCGATTTCGATATCGAAGTGACCAATGTTGCAGACAATGGCGTCGTTGGGCATAGCCTCGAAGTGAACACCAGTCAGAATGTCACGGCAGCCAGTGGTGGTGACGAAAATCTGACCCTGAGAAGCAGCCTTCTCCATGGTGGTGACCTGGTAGCCGGAAACGGCAGCCTGGAGGGCGTTGATGGGGTCAATCTCGGTGACAATGACACGGGCACCCATGCTGTGGAGAGCCTGGGCACAGCCCTTGCCGACATCACCAAAACCAGCGACAACGGCCACCTTGCCAGCAATCATGACATCGGTGGCACGCTTGATACCGTCGACAAGCGACTCACGGCAACCGTACAGGTTGTCGAACTTGGACTTTGTGACCGAGTCGTTGACGTTGATGGCGGGGACAAGGAGACCCTTGTTCTTGAGCATGCGGTAGAGGTGGTGGACACCAGTGGTCGTCTCCTCGGAGACACCGTAGCAGTCCTTGAGCATCTCAGGGTACTTCTTGTGGACAAGGGCAGTCAGGTCACCACCGTCGTCGAGGATCAGGTTCAGGCTCTTGCCGTCCTTGAAAGCAGTGAGCTGCTGCTCGAGGCACCACTCGTATTCCTCCTCCGTCTCGCCCTTCCAGGCAAAGACGGGCACACCAGCAGCAGCAATGGCAGCAGCGGCGTGGTCCTGGGTGGAGAAGATGTTGCACGAGGTCCAGGTGAGCTCAGCACCAAGGAACTTGAGGGTCTCGATGAGGACGGCGGTCTGGATGGCTGTCGTGCGGGTTAGCGGCGAGTCGTCTCTGCATTGGCACCCCGCGGGGCAACATACTCATGTGCAGACATCCAGCAATGCGGGCGCCCTTGAGAGGCTGGTCCTCGGCGTACTTGCGGCGGGTCTCCATCAGACCAGGCATCTCGTTCTCAGCGAGCTCAATCTCGCGGCGACCGAACGCCGCGAGGCTGATGTCGGCGACCTTGAACTTGTGTGCGGGGGCAGACATGATGAAGGGTGTGGTATGTGGTGGTTTGGGGGAAAAGGAAGGGGGGAGAAAAGAAGAGAGAAGGAGGGGAAGGAAAGAGAGAGAGGATGGAGGATGGAAGAGGACGAGGGAAGAAAAGTGGGAGAGATATAGCCCCGCGCCGACAGCCATGGACGCTAGTGCATGGACCCTTGGGTTCTGCACCAGCAAAACTATCGGCAGTTTGACTGGCCAGCCAAGTCGTCGGCCCCTCTCCCTCCAGTCGCCGGGATATCTCTAACTCCATGGTGCCAGTGCTGATGCAGCAGCCGCGTCTGCCCCAATGCAAGCCTCGCCTATCGCATCCCAGCATGGCATAAGTAACGCAGGCTGGACGACCATGGGCCTTTTTTTTCGCTGCGCGGGGCATGAAACAGCGCCCACCTTCGCACGACCAACGCAGTAAGCATTCGGCTTCAGCCCCGAGTAGCACCGACACTACTGTATGCGCTTTTGTAGGGAACCCATAGTTACTCTAAAACTTATCGCTACAATCACAACCAGCCACTTGTCTTGTTCACATGTAGTGGCCCTTCGGATCCTGCCGCTAGTGCTGAAGCGCCATTATCCACCACCACCGACAGCTATTTGCCAGGCCTCTTGAAATGCGGCTTCAGCGGCTCCCAGCTCTCCGCATTGTACCCTTCCTGCACCTTCTGGCACGTCTTTAGCCCCCAGTCCGTCACGCCAATCATCAGCGAGCTCTCAAACATAAAGGCCATGCTGCCCTCGCCCACCTTGGCCGGCTGCAGATCGGCATTCGACGCCTTGTCGTGAGTCGTAACATCGGGGCCGTGGCCCGACATGACATTGTGCAGAGACGCTCCCGCCGGCTGGAACCCACCGCCAGTCTTTGCATCGTACTGCCCGCCGATCAGGCCCATGAACTCGGACATGGTGTTGCGGTGGTACCATGGCGGTCGGAACGTGTCTTCGGCCACTAGCCACCGAGGCGGGAAGATGACGAAGTCGGCCACTGCTGTCCCTGCGTGGTCCGACGGCGCCGTGAGAACCGTAAAAATAGACGGGTCGGGGTGATCATACGAAATGGACCCTACCGTGTTAAATCGCCCGAGATCGTACTTGTAAGGGTAGTAGACGCCGTGCCATGCCACCACGTCGAACGGCGTATGCTTCTGCTTGGCCGCGTACAGATGGCCGGCGAATTTTGCGAGAATTTGCCACTCCGTCTCCGTGTCTTCGTCAAAGTCGGCCACGGGTGCCTGGAAGTCTCGCGCGTTGGCAAGGCAGTTGGAGCCAATGGGGCCCAGCTCAGGAAGTGTAAAATGGCCCTGATACAGCTCGAGGATGTAGCCTCGCACCGGGCCTTCAGGAAGCGTGACGCGGTATCGGATGCCGCGCGGAATCACGCAGATCTCGTTTGGACGCACAACCAGACGGCCCAGCTCAGTCTGGATATCGAGCACACCGTGCTGAGCGACAATGAGAAAGTCGCCGTCAGCCGAGTAAAACGCCTCGTTGGCCGCCATGTCCTTTCCGGCAGCATATATAAAGTACCCGACCCCCGACTTCATGGTAGGGTCGCCCGCACCCGCCACCAGGTGGAGCGAATGCACCCAGTCGACCGTCTCGTCGAGGTCAAACGGGTCCCACCGCAGCTGGTTTGGGATGTAGTGTATCCGCTCCCACGGCTTGTTCTCGGGGTTTGTGTTGAACGTCTTGGACTCGCGCGCTTCAAAGTTGCTGTGGCCGCACGACGGCAAGATGCGATAGAGCCATGATTGCTGGTTCTCGTGTCTGGGGGCTGTGAAGGCGGTCCCGGAGAGTTTTTCAGCGTAGAGCCCGTACGGAGGCTTTTGCGGCGAGTTTGCGCCCACTGGGAGAGCGCCTTCTACTGCTTCTGTTCTACGCCACGATCAGTATCCATGTGTGTGTCCACCAGCGGAGGAAACGCGTACTCATGGTAGGAGCCGAAGCCGTTCTGGTATCGGTATTTTTCCTTGAAAGCAAACTGTGTAGTCGGCATCCTGGACAGTGCAAGCGGCTGGTCAATTGCTCAAAAGGCGAACGACTCTGTGTCGACCAGCGGCCGTGTTGCGTCTATGTAGCTCACCGGCCCCACCCAAGCAGTGAGAACGCAGCCACGCAGCGGCGTCGTCATGGCTGTGTGGGTGGTGCGGTAAGGAGCGGCTTCTAATTCCGTCTTGTATGACATCGCATGCAAAGCGGAGTAGGGCTGGACAACTGGTGGGTATTCACATCGGCTTACCCCACAGTGCGAGGGGGAGCACTATGGCGGCCCGCGGCAAATGACGGAACCTTTCCGACTCTGTCCTCTCCCGCCTCCATCCCAATTCCGTCACCAGCCGGCCGCCCACGCAGAGCACCTCACGGCCTGGCGACCAAGACACGGCCGTCCATGGGGCCGAAGTCCCGTGACTGCCAGCATGCTGCCCTTGGCATGGGGATCCGGAGTTTCTGTTGTACACCATCCTGGCCGAGCCTTCAAACAGTGCGCAGCTACAGCTCAGTATACCCAGGGACCCAGGTAGTCCAGATTGCGTTCAATTGGCATTGTTCTGGCCCTTTCTCAACTACCCAGCGCCACGCCATACCACGCAATCCCACATACTATTACCACTCGTCTTGCCATGGCCTCGCTACGATCCTGGTTTAGCATACCTCGCGGCTCACACTTTTCTCTGGCCAACATCCCCTTTGGTATCATCTCGACTGCGTCGTCGACAAAACCGCGAGTTGCGGTTGCCATTGGCGAGCATGCTCTAGACCTCGAGGCCTTTGCCGCCAACAATGGCTTTTCAGGCCTCTCCACCATCCAGCCCCACCAGACCGTTTTCTCTGAGCCCTCACTAAATGCATTCGCTGCCCTCGGCCGTCCCATCCACTCGGTCGTTCGCAAGTACATCCAGAGTGTGTTTTCCGAGGACACGACCTACCCCGATGTCCTCAAGAACAACAGTGCCCTCCAGAAACAGGCTCTGCTCCCGCTCAACGAGGTCCGCCCTCATATCCCTTTTAAGATTGGTGACTACACCGACTTCTTTGCCGGTCTGAACCACGCGTACAACTGTGGTGTCATATTCAGGGGCCCGGATGACGCTCTGCAGCCAAACTACAAATACCTGCCAATCGGTTACCACGGCCGAGCATCCTCCGTCGTGCCTTCAGGAACGCCAATCCGGCGCCCCAATGGCCAGATTCTGCTGAACCCCACAGCCGAGAAGAAAGTACCTACATTCGGCGCGTGCAGGAAGCTGGATATGGAACTTGAGCTCGGGGCCTTTGTATGCGGCTCCAACGAGCAAGGCGTGCCCATCCCGATAGAAAAGGCAGAGGAAAACCTGTTTGGCGTGGTGCTCATGAACGACTGGTCGGCACGAGATGTCCAGGCGTGGGAGTATGTGCCCCTGGGGCCTTTCAACGCAAAGAACTTTGGGACAACAATCAGCACATGGGTTGTGCATGCAGATGCGCTGGAGCCGTTCAAGACAAAGGGTCTCGAGAACGATGCCGAAGTACTGCCCTACCTGAAGCAAAAGAGCGACAAGACCGTATACGACATCAACCTCGAGGTCGATATCAAGAGTATGCTGTCTCGTCCAAAACTATGAGATGAAGACTAACACGTCCCAGCATCCTCTGGTAGCAAGGCTACTGTGTGCAAAGTCAGTGGGAAAAACCTCCTGTGGTCCTTTCCACAAATGCTAGCACACCACACCAGTACCGGATGTCCCGTCAACCCTGGAGACCTGCTAGGTTCAGGTACCATTAGCGGGACCTCGCCATCCTCGTTTGGAAGTTTCCTGGAGCAGAGCTACAACGGCAAGGAGTCGATCCAGATTGCAGGCGGAGAGAAGAGGACGTTCCTGGAGGATGGTGACGAGGTTACTATCCGGGGTGTATGCGGCACGGATGAGGAAGCTCTTGTGGGCTTTGGAGAGTGTGTTGGGCGCATTGAGCCTGCTCTCACACTGAGCTTTGCCTAGGTCTTGTAGCCAGCAGCTTTATGCCCTGCAGATACTGAGTAGCATCCAGCAATGTGAATATGCAGCAAGCATCAACAAGAAGGGGGTAGCCTCCATCATCATCATCATCATCATCATCAGACCGTGATTGGTCCCACCGGCCCCATTCTGAGCACTGGCATACATGTAAGCAACTCTATGTACCTCTGACCTTACTGGCCCTCACCCTCACCTCACCTCACCTCACGCTGTGTATCCCCATCCCCCATGTTTGCCGCAAGAACCACAACAGTCGTCATGAGGCACCTTTCTGCACGACCGAGTGGACCCAAAGACCCCAGCGTTTCTGCGCCCATCCTGTGCACGTTCTGAACACAGTTAGCCCATGATATCACCCTACCTGCAAGCGCGCACCATATCCGCACCTGATTCCCTTGTTCGCGCGCGGTACTATTCCGCGCTCACCACCTCCTGCGGCAGCGCAACTCCAACACCTCGCCAACCAACCAACCCCGCAGTAATCGGTAAACCTTAGTTAGGGGGGAAACCTTGGAACACGGGCCCGTACTTTTTCGCCCATCCTTGCGCCACCTTTGCGTGGCAGGTGCCGAGTTCGTACAGGCTTCCGAAGAGAGGCAGCCCGGGCACTTCAGGCAGGCCCTTGATGTGCGGCGTGTCGGTGCCGTACAGCAGCTTGTACAGGAAATACGCCAGCACAGCTATGCCGGCTGCGTAGATGGGAAGCGTCATGACGAAGAATCAAAGCCAGCCCACAAAGCACAAAGAAACTGGGGAGCAGAATGAAGATGGAAAATAAAAGTCTCAGTTCAGACACTGATACCGACTCGTCAGCCCTGATTTTATATCAATCCCATTCCATGGCCTTTTGCCCGTGTCAAGTCATGCGGCGCTTGTCCTCACTGAACCCCCCCCCCCCACAACAAGCATGGGGGGGGGGGGGTGGAGAGCCCATTAGCTCTTCTTCTTCCAGCGATCCGTAGCGGAATCAGCAACGCGATCTGCGACTCAGGCAGCAATGCGCATGGGAAACAGGGTAAGTCAAGCAAAACCCGGGTCCTTGGAAATGCTCAAGTTGCGGGACGGCAGTGCTCATCAGGAATGCCACAGAGAATCGTGTTTGCCAATGCCTTCGAATCCATTCGTCACCTCTGGATTACAAACCAGTCGGCCATGATCTCGCGCCCTATGCTGCATACCTTCCACAAGGTGATTTCGTCGTCGCAGGGTTTCACAATCGGCACTTCGCCGTGGGACGAGTCGTGCAAGAACCGGCGCAGAGCCGCTGCCACGGCACTCAACCGCCCGGCCGTGCAGTCGTACATGCCGCACATCGACCTGGAATCCACCGTCTCGGTCAAGGAGCTGCTGCATGACAGCAAAGGCGGCGAGCTGGATCTTGATCCCCGGGCCTACTGGCAGCGATATGCGCTGAATACGTCGCTGACACTCAACTACGGGTACCGCATTGATGGCGACAAGAACGCGCCGCTGCTCAAGGAGATTGTCGATGTGGAGAGGGGAATTGGTAACTTTCGATCGACGAGCAATAACTGGCAAGACTATGTTCCGCTTCTGCGACTGTTCGGGGCTCAGAACAAAGAAGCTCAGAGCTTCCGCAAGAGGAGAGACGTGTACATGGATCATCTGCTGAAAATATTGGAAGAAAAGATCAAGAACGGCACGGACAAGCCATGCATCACCGGTAACATTATTAAAGACCCAGAGGCAAAGCTGAACCGAGGTCAGTCGTCTCCATTCCAGTCAATCAATCACGTACTGACAAAGCACAAGCCGAAATCACATCCATCTGCCTGACCATGGTCTCAGCCGGCCTCGACACGGTCCCCGGCAACCTCATCATGGGCATTGGCTACCTGGCGACGCCGGCGGGGCAGAAGATGCAGAAGCGAGCATACGAGGAGATCATGAAGGTTTATCCCAATAACGATGCGTGGGAGCGGTGTCTGCACGAAGAAAAAGTCGAATACGTTACCGCTCTGTACAAGGAAATCCTGCGCTACTGGACCGTCATCCCCATCTCGCTGCCGCGCGTCTCCATCAAGGACATTGAGTGGAACGGCGCCATCATCCCTGCAGGAACCACCTTTTACATGAACGCCTACGCCGCAGACTACGATGAGACGCACTTCAAGGACCCCTACACATTCAACCCGGAGCGCTACCTCAACGTCCCCGAGGGCGCGGGCACCTCGCACTACGGGTATGGCGCTGGCTCGCGCATGTGCGTGGGCTCACATCTGGCGAACCGCGAGCTGTACACTGCGTTTGTGAGGCTGATTTCTGCATTCGAGTTTACGCCGCCGGTGGATCCAAAGGACGAGCCGATTATGGATTGCCTCGAGGCCAATGCCATTCCCACGAGCCTGACCCTCGAGCCAAAGTACTTCAAGGTGGGATTCAAACCGCGGAATCGGGCCCTGTTGGATCGGTGGATTGCTGAGAGCGAAGAGAAGACAAAGGAGTTGTTGGAGTAGATGTGTAATGCGTGTTTGAATAGTGGTTGATTTGGCGGCGTATTTAGTAAAAGTATTCGAGCGTGTATATTCCCAATGCAGTCGTTCCCACGTGTGAAGAGGGCTGTTTCCCAATCTGGAACATGGCATTTTGTCGCACGAGCCACTTGTTTTGGTGGAGAGGTCGTTCTCACTTCACCACGGCAAGTTCATCGGCGTGGTGAAGCAGAGATACTTGAAGCAACTTGACTTTTTCATGTGCTGCAACACCTTCAAGCAACGCCATACAGCCATCATGTGGTCCTACCTTGACGGATACAATGTGTCGATCCTGGCCATTCCAGCCTACTTCATGCGTATGTATCTGTCTAATGCACGTTAGTTTGCAATCACTGACTTGGCTCTGATGCTCGCAGTCTGCGTCTTGCCGCGTGCTTTGGCCATTGTCATTGCTGCTCGAGGCAGACTGCCCACCTGGGACACGTCCAACACGCACTCCAGCGATGTGAGAGCGCAGTTGAAGCAGCGGATGCCAGCAGAGACGTACACCATGTACGAGAGGATGACTGCGTGCTATGACGGTGGAATGGAGGTGAGACTCGATCAGGCTGGCGTGCAGTCGTCCGTCGTTAATCATGTTAGCATCTCGCGCTGTTCATTGGAGCGGTTATCTCGGGCAACATGGCTGGGCTGCAGCACGGGGACCTCTACGTGTTTGTGTCGTGGTTCCTCGCTGTTCGTGTTGCGCACATGGTGATTTGCATGACTGCGTCGCCCCGGGCCGCCGTGGCCATTGGCAGTGTGCTGTGGATTGGGCAATTCTGGCTGTGCCTCGGTATCCTGGTCCGTTCCGCCCAAGCCATGGGTGCCGAGGAATGAGCAGACTGTTTCGACGAGCGGAGACTGCAACTGGGAAACACGGAGAACAGCGGCGCTTCTAAAAATGACTTCCTAGCAATAGCACAGTACGTAGATGGAAGCGTGTCATGTTGATGGTGTATTCGGCTCGGTTCCTGGGCAAGGATGGCTGCCTAGGCTGGCTGCGCCCATGGTGATACGCTTGGAGATTTTGGGCGGTCCCGGTTCGTCTTGGGTGGCGGTAGAGGCGTTTCATATGGCGCGCCCCCCCATGGCGCGGGCGGAGATGGGGAATGTCGGCGGGGGGCTGGCGGTCGGGCGCGGTGGTGTCGGTAGGGAGGCCAGACAACAGCGGCGTATACGCGTGGTGCTATTCAAACATCTTGGGGCGGTGGCCAGCCAGTGGTGGTGGTGGTGGTGGTGGTGGGGCGCGGAGGGCAGGCAGTGCTGGGGGGCAGCTGAGCCGATGGGCCACGCGAAGCTCAATGGCTGCCTGGGTTCCACCCGCGGCGTCTGGGAGAGCCAAAACGTGTCCAGATGGCAGCAGGCGGCATAAAAACAGTTGCCCGCAAAGGAGCGCCTCGCTCACCGCAACTCTTGCAACAAAAGCAGATAAGCGATCGCTGATAGTTGTCACGTGCCCGCCCAGTGGTGGCACTTGCCAGCTTCCGAACAGTGCCCAGACTTCGCCGCGCTTCCCACCACATCTCTTCAACGCAGCCCTTCCTGTGTGCATCAATTAGACGACATCGACATCCACCCGCCCCATCCCCGAATACCACCGACTCTCTTGAGCGAAGCCGTAAGTCCCTCGCCGTCGCCTTGTTTTTTCCCGCCCTTGCCCTGCCCCCGCCGCCGCCCCTCGTGCTGGTCAGGCTTCCCTCGTAACCGCGCCTCGGGCTGCCCGACAGACAGGCTCCCCTACACGATTGTGTCTGCGCCAGCAACACGTCGCCCGGCATGGCCCTCAGCACCGCTCCCGCACCCGCACCCCCCCATGACGCCATGTCTCTCTTCTCAATGCTGTCCTGACCGTTAGCGCCTGCAGGTTCGAGAGTCTATACACCGCCTGCCCACGCTCCCTCGTCCCACTGCCTCTTCGACACACCCGCTCCGCAGCCATGGGTCTCACATTCTCCAAGCTCTTCGACAAGCTATGGGGCAAGAAGGAGATGCGTATCCTCATGGTCGGTCTCGACGCAGCCGGAAAGACGACGATTCTCTACAAGCTCAAGCTGGGTGAAATCGTCACCACCATCCCTACCATTGGTATGTTGCGCGCCCCAGCGCCAGCGTTGCAGCGGGCAATGCGCTGATTCGCCCCTGTGCAGGTTTCAACGTCGAGACGGTCGAGTACAAGAACATCCAGTTCACCGTGTGGGATGTCGGCGGCCAGGACAAGATCCGTCCTCTGTGGAGGCATTACTTCCAGAACACACAGGGTATCATCTTCGTCGTCGACAGCAACGACCGCGACCGTGTGGTCGAGGCGCGCGAGGAGCTCCAGCGCATGCTGAACGAGGACGAACTCCGCGATGCCCTCCTCCTGGTCTTTGCCAACAAGCAGGATCTGCCCGTAAGCCACACCACGTGCGAGGCGACGTATGCACATGACTAACCATGCCTCTTGCACAGAACGCCATGAACGCCGCTGAAATCACCGACAAGCTGGGTCTCCACAGCCTCCGACAACGTGCCTGGGTATGTTCTCCGGGCTTGCCCACATTACAACACCGGCTAACGCCTTGCAGTACATCCAGTCGACTTGCGCCACGTCTGGTGACGGTCTTTACGAGGGTCTCGAGTGGTTGAGCAACTCTCTCCGCAAGGCCGGTCACCAGTAGAGCCGCAGCGTGCGAGCGGTAACGTAGCGAGTCACGAAAATGTCAACCGTCTGCTATGCCCAGACATCTCATAATGAACGCGTGTCCCCAGCGTAGTGGCCGGACCCATGAAATGTGTTTGCATTGGTGTCCACTTTCAGATCGGATGGTGGAGTGGAGACTCGTGGGTTTCTCTTCTCTTTTTCACCATTGGAGTTTGTGTGAAGTGCTATGACATATCGTTTCTGGGGGTCGTTGGGGGGAAATCAGTTGTGTGGTTACTTTTACGTGATACTCTCAATTTGAGCCTCTTCTTCCTAGACTCACTCGACTGTGCCTTTTGGTGACATATTTTCGGCACATCTTTTTTTTTCGTGACAACTTTTTTTTGTGACATGGTGCATCCCTGGACTTGACATTTCTGTTACACCATGAGTCGAGTCGAGGGGTAAACAGCGAAGAAAAACAAAACATGGAAAGCACATGGATGGCACTTGTATCAGTCTGATTCTATTCCAAGGCTCACATTGCACACAAATCATAAGACATGCCAAAACGCCAGTCATTTGCCTCGTCAAATCTGCTCTCGCTACATGTACAATGTGGAAAATGCTGACAGCTTGCTGGAATGGGAAGGGAAGCCCATGTCAAATGGCGTTGAAAGTAACTTTGTTTGCTTGTTTGACCACAAAAAGGTGCGTGCGTCGTGCGTGCGTGCGTGCGTGCGTGCTTCAAGATGTAGGCGCAGCCTGCTGTGCACCCGAACTCTTTGGCGGGGCATTCTCCTTTGCCGCCGTAATGGGAGGCAGCAGACCCTTTTCGGCCCAGAGGTCGACCAGCGGCTGCATGGGCTCGATTTCCTTGTCGCCAATCAGGTTGAACAGCTTGCCGACGTTGATGAAGTGGATAAAGCATGTGTTGAGCTCCTTGTACGCACTCACGTTCCAGAAGGGTTCCAGCCAGTGGCCGTGGTAGATGTGGGCGTAGCAGCGCATCATCTGGCGGTAGATGCTCTTGATGTCGCCCTCGAACGTCTCTGGGAAGCCAGACGACTTGCCGAGCCATTCGCGGCCGGCAAGCTGAGAGGCAGACTGGTTGAGGCTGGTGGGCCCAAGAGGCTGCGGCGTTGAGTTGGGCGTCATGGACCCGGAAGCATACGTCGTGGTGCCAATCGAAATGGCCTGGGTGTCTGTGGGGAAAATGTTTGGGTCGTTGATCTTGCCCACGATCCACTTCTGCACGAGGTTGATATACTGGATGGCGGGGATCTTGATGGGCTTCTTGTTGTTGTCGAGCCAGGTGTATGTGTGGCCACTGGCCGACATGGTCGGGCACACGTCTGGGTTGCAGATGGGCTTGCCTGTCCGGTCATCCACCACCTTGATGATTTCAATCATTTGCTCCAGCAGCCTGTACTGCTCGACAACTGGTCACATGTCAGCATCAGGCCACCCAACACGCACGCACGCAAGCATACCTTGATGTGCAAGCCATTCGCCTTCTTCGACAAGCTTGGGCTTTGCAGCCAGCGTCATAAAGTTACCCTTGACAATCAAGTTGGAGTACTCCTCGCGGAAGAAGAAAGGCGGTCTGCGGCTGCCAGAGAGCACGGACCCCTCGGATGGCGGCTGGCTTTCGAACGACATGTTAGACGACAAGGCAGGAGAATTGGGCATAGGCGGTTGGCTCGGGAGCTGTTGAGTAGGAGATGCTGCGTATGGAGTGGTTGGTGAAGAGGAGCCGCCCTTGCCTCCGGGTTGCTGTCCTTTGTTTGAACGCCCAGCCAATCCCTGACGACTATCGGTGAAGTTGTTAGACACGGAACAGCTTGGGCACCCTCGCGAGACGATGGCCGGGTTAGAAAAAGACAAAGTGGTTGTCTCGAGTAACGTGAAGGTCACGCAACAAAGACGGGAGAGGACATGCAGCAGATTGCCTGAAACACACGGCGGGGTGGGTTGGGGGAGAGAAGGTAAGGTGTCGACGGAGGGCGACCACGTGCCAAGCAACTTACACGTTTGCGAAGAAAGAAGCCATGCTTTGGGGGGGCTCTGGCTCGGGGCAAGCAGGGGCAGCGGACTGCGAGGCGGAGGCTATTAATGCACCTAGAAAGGACCGGCTTGAAGAGTATGCAAGAGGATTGAAGGGGGAGGGTGGTGGTGACAGTGATACGTCTCAAGCGGGCACGCTTTTTGGGCCCACCGTCTCCTAAGGGCTGCGTCGAGAAGGGGCGGGGCGCTACTGCCGCATTGGGGCTAGTGCACGATACACGGACTGGCCTGGCGGTTGGCGTCGCTGGGGAACTTCTGCTTGTGCCTGTCGCCTTTTGCTGCTGAGCTGCAACCTCACGCTCCGAGTGGCAACCTCACCCGCCGCGCCCGCCGACCTGCCCACCACGTGTGCGACGTGCATTTCTGCTGTTTTGGCATCGCCGCCCTGCTCGCGACCCGCCCGTGTCTCTGCACCCGCCAAAACCCCCAGCCAGCCTGCTCCGTCGCGACCATGTCCGACGCGGGCCACGACCCAACCCTGTCCGACGACGACGCCAATGGCCATGCCACGCCTGCTGAGAATGCCGACGGCGGCTCGCCGCTGAACACGGTCGAGGACCACGGCCTGGACGATGACGACGACGACGATCTGTTTGGCGACGGCGGCGACGGCGACGACGACGATGGAAATGCACTGGATGCGCAGCCGTACGTCGCGCCACACTGCAGCACGCGGCCTTCAATTGACGTGTCACAGGGAGCCGCGCAAGCTCGACGATGAAGAGCTCGACTCGGGCGACGACGAGGGCCGGGCAGATCGCGCCCGCCAGCCCGAGGCGCTCGAGGAGGTTGAGCAGCAGACGTTTGCCTACATGGACGCCGACCTTGTGCGCCATGCCGTCCCCGAGCCCACCGACAACGAACTCTACCTCCTCAAGGTCCCGCGCTTCTTGTCGTTTGACGACAAGGCCTTTGACCACAAGACATTCCAGCCGCCGACGACAGACCACCACTCCAAAGTCGGCGCGTCGGAGCACTTTTCCGCCTACAACACTGCCATGACCACGATCCGGTGGCGGCGCTCCCCCTCGAATAACGCGGTTCTGCAGTCCAACGCTCGCATCCTGAGATGGTCGGACGGTTCTCTTACGCTGCAACTCGCGAGCGACCCTACCGTGCAGTTTGACATTGACGCCAACACGCTTGCGCCGCCACAAGTAAACCCCAAGATTCCCACGCCAACAGCCGTCAAGGAGGACAAGAGCGGCGCCAAGACAAACGCGAAGAAGGAGAGCTACACATATCTCGTTGCTCCATACGAGGAGGCCAATGTTATGCGTGTAACCAACAAGCTCACAGCATCACTCAACGTCGTGCCCGCCGCAAACACCAAAGACGCCGCGCTCGAGAAGCTGCAAAACGACCTCGCAAAGGTTGCGTCCAAGGGCCGCGACGACGCCGACCAAGCCATTTCCTTTATCAACGTAGACGAAGACCCCGAGCTCCGTAGGCAGCGCGAAGAAGCCACATTCAAAGAGAAGCAGCGACAATTGCGCGCCCGTGAGAAGCACGAAGCCCGCCAGGCAGAGCGCGCGAACCGCTCCATGGGCCGCAGCGGTGGTCGTTCATCAGGAGGTGGCCTCGATATTGATGGTTTGGAAGACCGCGCTCCTCGCAAACAACAGCATAGAAAAAGCGGTATACGGCGTGATTGGAGCGATGACGAAGACTATGGTGGTCCTCAGAGGAATCGTGTCGACGACTATGACGAGGAGGATGACTTTATCGCCGCTAGTGATGAGGAGCCGGAGATTGTTGAGGATGACGATGATCCAGATGAAGGTATCGCGCCTAGTCCGAAGAGATCAAGAGGGGGGGCCGTTGCCGCCGACGACGATGACGATGATGAAGTTGTTATCAGCCGGACAAAGCGGAGACGTGTGGTGGACGACGACGAGGACGAAGAGTAGGATTATCATTCGTATATCACACGCAGAGCCAGACACAATCTATCTTGCTCGGCCATTAGTATCTCATTTGGATACAGCATAGCCCGGAGTTGGTTTGTACGAGTATCATTCAGCATTACTATTTATGCAAGAGATTGACATTTCCAGTTGTGATGACTACTTTGTCTAGAATGATATATTATGGGTCGTAGGCCTCCAGTCCTTGAATAGCCGCTTTACTTGCCAGATGCATACTAGTGCATGCACGAGTATACAACCTTGACTCACCTTTTATTCTCTCCGACTGCAGTTCCAGAATGATGCAGTAGAGAAGTTTGAAGTTTGACTAAAGATGAGTACATCAGAAAGCTTGCGGCTGGGGTGGATCGGCCTCGGATCCATGGGTCTGGCCATGGCAACAAACATGCAAAAACACATGCAGCAACAACAAAACGCCTTTCCACCACTCAAATACTGGAATCGGACTCTTGCGCGAGGCAAGCCATTGGACGACCTGGGTGCAATCGCATGTCCAACTATTGCCGAGCTGGCACAAACCAGCGATGTCATCTTCATCTCTGTAAGCCCGACTACATTACATTACATTACAGCCACAGAAGAAGAAGAAGAAGAAGAAGAAGAAGAAGAAGAAGAAGAAGAAGAAGAAGAGAGCAAGACTAAATAAGTAACCCAGGTCAGCGACGACGCCGCCCTCCAAACCATCATCAGCCACATCCAAGAAAGCGGCAATATATCCGGCAAAACCATCCTCGACACCACAACCATCCACCCATGCACGTCAACCACTCTATCCCGCATCCTGAGCCGCTCAAACGCCACATACCTCACGGGCCCCGTCTTCGGCGCCACGCCCGTCGCCCGCACAGGCACGCTGCTGATGGCGCTCGCGGGGCCCGCACCCGCTATATCGCGCGTGACGCCGTTCCTAACAGGCGTGATAGCACGTCACGTTGTCCCCGCCGGCGCCACACCGTCGCACGCGGTGCTGCTCAAAACGCACAAGCAACTATATCACAGCGGGACTCATGACGCTGCTATCTGAAGCCCATGTCCTCGCCGAAACCAGCCAGCTGTCCAGCTGCGTGCTGGACTCCCTGCTCGAACTGCATTTCGGCACCTACGCGCTCGGCGTGTCGCGCAGACTGACCTCGGTTGCGTATCTGCCCGCTGTGGGACTCGAGCCTGCGTCGAGCCTGGAGCTCGGGGTCAGGGATGTGGCGCATGCGGTGGGCGTGGCGAGGGAGAACGGCATGGCGTTGCGGATTGGAGACTTGTATCTTGAGGCTGCGGGCGAGGCGATCAAGTATGGGCTGGAGACGGGCAGAAAGTGTGATAGTAGTGCCGTGTATGGCGTTGTGAGACGGCGGGCGGGACTGGAGTTTGAGACGAGGGTTGTGAGGGAGAGGGATGGCATGGGGGAAGGGGAGGGGGGGGGTGTGATGGAAGTGGGCTAGTATATTTTGATTGAGAAGATATAGTCTGGTAGAGAGATGACGCGTTGTGTTGAAATTGGCGGAAATCGATGGAGAATGAAAATCAATCAAATACGCGTAGTTAGTTGTATCAAGTGTCATGTGTTACTGAACAAGACCACCAGCACGTACAGATCAAATACTCAGCATATGCAAGATTTTAGTATTTAGTCCTAGTCTATTCAAGATTCAAGATCCAAGACGCCTGTATTTTCTTACACCATACACTCTACTATGCACCTCTCTCAGCCGCCTGTCGCTCAGCCTCTACCTCAGCAATAACAACCCTGCGAACGCCCTGCCAGCCCTCCGACTTCTTGACATGGCTGACTCGCCTGGGCTTGTCCTCCAGACCCTTGAACTCAACCGGCAGTACCTTTTCTTGGAAGTACTCCTTCTGCTCTGGCAGCGCGAGCTCGACGGCATTCGCGAATTTGGCAGGGTGCGCAGTCGCCAGCGCAATGTGATGGGTAGTTGGGGGCTTGGCTACTTCTACCGAGCGAAGTGCTGCTGCAATGCCAATGGCAGAGTGCGGGTCGAGCACGTAGTTCTTGGATGCCTCTGCGCCAAACACGTATTTAATGGTGTTGATGGTCTCGTCGTCGCTGACACGATACGAGGAAAAGTCGGCCTGGGCTGCTTCCAGAATCTGCTTGTCTACGGCAAAGCCACCCGCAGTCTTGAGCTCGTTGAGCCAAGTCCGTACGTGCTCGCCTGCTTGGCTCCGTCGTTGCGCAACGGCATCTGAGTTTGTGCTGTACACGTCGTAGGAGAGGTACCAGAGCAGACGCTCAAAGTTTGAAGAGACCAAAATGTCCATGGCCGGGCTCAGCGTCTCCTTGACCCCACCCTCGTGCGCCTTGGCACCATCCTCTGGAATACCGCCCTCGGCCTCTTTTCCGTGGACAGCGTGCTTCTCGTACCTGCCAGTCTCCCAGAAACGGTGTAGAATGTCGTTCTCGTTGGTTGCTATGACCAGCTTCTCGGCAAGCAGGCCCATGCGCTTGGCGAAGAAGCCAGCCAGAATATCGCCGAAGTTACCCGTGGGCACGACGAAGCGGACAGCCGAGGCTGGGAGGAAGGACGGGCTCTTGATGAGATCAAAATACGAGTAGAAGAAGTAGGTAATTTGCGCAAGGATGCGCGCCCAGTTGATCGAGTTTACGGCAGCGAGGCGGTGCGTCTTGTTGATCTCTGGGTCGGCAAAGAGGGCTTTGACAAAGTCCTGGGTTTGTTAGTGGTATCCCGCGACACAACCTGTGCGTGCATACCTGGCAGTCGTCAAATGTGCCATCTACAGCCAAGTTGTGCACATTGGCGTCCATGACCGTCGTCATCTGCGCTTCCTGGATCGGGCTGACTTTGCCGTGCGGGTGCATGATGAAGACGGACACGTCCTTCTTTCCGCGCAGACCGTAAATGGCTGCTGAACCAGTGTCACCACTTGTTGCGCCGATGACAGTCAGGTGTTCCCTATCGCGGCCCGTCTTGCCCTGGTTCTTGCGCACGAGAAAGTACTCGAACAGGTTGCCCAGGAATTGCAGCGCAACATCCTTGAAGGCGAATGTAGGTCCGTGAAAAAGCTCCAGCAGGTGGATGTTCTTCTCCTTGTCTAGCGTAACGGTAGGGACTACATCCTTTGCGCGAAAGGTCGAGTAACTGCGGCGGATGATGTCTTTGAGGTCGGCCGACGGGATCTCAGAGGGCGAGATGTAGAGGGAGAAGATTTCAAAGGCGAGATCTGCGAACGAGAGGTCTTTCCACTTGGACGCCCAGTCTTCAGGCAGCGCGGGGATCTCTTCGGGTATAAACAGTCCCCCGTCTGCCGCAAGGCCCTTGAGGACGACGTCTTCAAAGGAGAACTACGAGGTATTAGCACGTCATTGCGCTGACACCTGGCGCGCAACTCACATCGTAGGACCCACCCCGGGTACTCAGATACCGTTGCGATGCTGTATGTGTGGACATGTTGTTCAGTCTATGCAACTGTCAGAATGTACAAAAGTAGGAACCAAGGTGTTGACTCAAAGACGGTGTCAAGCGCTGGTCCCCGTGGGGAAAAAATGTTGTGGCTCCGGAATCGCTCTTGACTCAACTACGGAACTGTCCCGTCACATCCTAGATCCATGCACGAGGCGTCTAGACTGGCGCGTGATAGGCGTATCTCTACACGGCCCTGGGAATCCATGATAAAGGGCCAGATATAGCGAGTAGCTTTATCCATTGGTAAAAGGGAGTCGTAGTTGTGCCCCCTGCCCCGCCTTGCGCACATTGACCCCGCCATGCCACGGTTCCTGCATTTGACGGCGATGTTGGCGCCAATTCGGGCTTGACCTCAGCTGTACGTATGCTGCACTTCGGTATGCTCCTAAGACCCTCGCGGTATTTGGTCTAATTGTATACAGCCCCAAATCACACGGCTGCATGGCATACGGTGTGAACTGCAAATAGATGTGAAAAAGAACAGCCAGAAGTGGCAAATCATCTCATGTCTAGTGATTCTATCCGGATAGTACGTTAATTATGCCAAGTACCAATGACCCGATTGCCGGCCATAATTATCAAGTTCAACACCATGCTTAGCGACATGCTCGACGTGCATGGAATATAAGGACACGTCATGCGCCGGGCCCAAAATGATGCTACCTATTGGCATCTCTTGCAAGGTGAAGTCTGCGTTGCCTTTCCAACTGCGCCGTGAGGGCAACCACTCGAGCTTGAAGTACCCGCCGAACCTGATTCATCTCCGCCTGCTGCTGTCTGAGGTGGGCCATTTCGTTATCAAAGCGTTGTTGATGTAAGCGATTTTGGACATCCTGAATCCGCGCTTCAAGTGCCCTGTTATGAATATAAGGCTCACGAGGGCGAGGAACTGCCTGCACAAGAGCAAGGTTATGTGCTTGTTGAGCAGGCCGCCTGGGTTGAGCCAACCCACCAGCTCCCCCTTGAAAGGGATTACCGGCTAACATGTTCCAAGGAGCGTCAAAGGCTCGACGTCTAGCAATGCTGGTCAGGCGGGTGATATAGGTAACAGCGAGGACATTGTGCGAGATGACGACGAAAGAACTGCTGATATGGTTGCTGTTGGGGAGCAGCGCCATAGTGATACAGATGCTGAACAGGATACATGGGCGGGTAATCGGGAACCGGTTGTATCGGTTGAACAAATCTAGGAACGAATGCTGCTGCGAAAGGATGTACATACTGGAGTGCTGGTGGTTCCACAGGCATCGGTGGAAGTGGAACTTGAGGTCGCGGCACAGCCATGTGAGCAGGCGGAACGCGTCGAAGCTGTCCAGCCACCATGTGGTAAGGATAGGCTTGTGCTTCGGCTCTTACACGACCTCTACGTGCTTCCTCGGCTTGTTTGACCTGGTCAGATACTTTGACCATCAGGTCTGCGTCCGACAAGCTCGGGTTTTCGGCTCGTACTTTGGCCATGGCTTCGCCGGCTGCCTTTTTCACTTCCTGTTCGTGACGCTCTTCGATATTATCATGTAAAGGACACTTGCCTGCACTTGTCTCTCCGAAGTGACTATAATCAGTCACATTCTTCGAGCACACGTAGCTGCATGGAATTAGTGTATCGATCACAAATCCGGCCTTTCACTTACCACTGCAGATTCCTACAATGCGTGCACGTCATTTTGTTGCAACCAAATTCCTTGATGAATGGATGTTTACACTTGTTGCAATGGCGTATCAAGGCGGCCGACATGGCCTCTTCAACAACGTGTCTTAGCGTGATCTGACTGTCTTTTTTAGACTCCTCGCACGTCATGGGGATGTGTGATTCTTTCTGGCAAAGTCGACAGCTTGTCTTGCCGCACTTTGCGCTTTGACAACGAAACTCTTTGTCGACTTCGATTGGTGGACACTCCATCCTGAAATCGCAGAACGGGCACTCTGAGAGAAAGTCTAATCCTGCTGCTTTCAAGTCCTCCATCTGCTGCATGTGTTCTAGTCGCTCAAACGTCTTTTCGCTCAAGGCTTCTTGTAGCTGTCCTCGCAAGAAAATTCCGTTGCAGTTGTCAACACCAAAGCACTTGGGCCTGCAACGGGATTGCCCCATTTGCGTCTCAATCTGCTGACGTACGCAGTCTTTGCAATAGAAATGTACCGTATCGCCATTGCAACTGATCATGCGGTTAAGGGGTGCATCGTCGAAGCAGCAGGCGCACTCGCCCATTTGGTTATTGATACGCGCTTGGTGTAAGTTGGCCTCTTCGGCCTCCTCAGCCTCCTGGGCCTTGCGACGTTTTACTAGAAGCGATTAGCTTGATCAAACGACTGAGCAGTATGCATTCTGCCCACGGCGCTTTTTGTAGATCTGCAGGAGTACCTACCAGCTTCAGACTCGACCTTTTTCTTTGCCGCGTCTAACTCCTTGGGTAGCTGACTGCCTCTTGCGATTAATTGGGCTTCGACACCGCGCTTATTTCGAGATTTGCTGATCTTGGTATATGACCGAGCAACTCGTCCGTAGTCGCGCACTTGTTTCTCGATGACGCCGTAGGCTTTGTAGAGAGTTTTCTGTTCTTGAAGAACGTTGGAGATGTGTCGTACGGGCACGCTGGGAAATTCGTCCTTGAGTAGTTCTGTTCTATAAAGGCATTGTCAGTATGTGGAGTGATAGGCATAGCCATGAGCTATCATGGTGATTCTGCATTGATACTGTTGGCATTATGCTGTTCCATATATGGAATACATGCGTATTGTGAGTCTTGAATGATTCCATGTCACAGGAAGCGCACTTGAAGCAGCCTGGAAGCAAAGTTGCTATTCTTAGGCAAAAGTGGGTGCAGCTTCATGTGATGCTGATACCACACAATATGCGCTGTAGACTGGAAGGAAGCACTTACGCATCGGACTCGTAACCGTAAATCTCCAAAGTACGCTCGCCTTTCTCATAACTGCTCAGCTCATCTTCAGCCTCGTCTTCCCGTTTTCTCTTCCTTTTCTTCGCTTCCTCCTCCTCTTTTGGATATGGTTCACCTTCTAGGAGTTCGGCAATGAGTCGCTCACACTGGACCATGGTTCGCGTAGCGTCTGTCGTCTTTTCCTGGATAAGCTTGAGCACATGGTCAACCGAGATATCTGGCAACACGCTGAGAACCATCTGTAGACACGCAGCCCCGGTGACCAGATCAGTTTGCGCATGCCTACCAGGAGCTTGCCGAAGCATATCATCTGCAATGATGGGATCTGACGGCGGAACATCAATATCTGGGATGGCGGTCAAGTCGATTATCTCGCCGTCAATCAGCTGCAAATTTTGGCGAAAGTCATCAAAGTTTGGGTGGTTGCTTGCACTGCCTGCTGCCGATTGTGCGTCGGAAGCCTCTACTTGCTGCCTCGCTCGGCCCTCATCTTCGGACTCAGTGTCAGAAAGCAGGTCGACAATCTCTTGACTCTCACGAAGTTGGAATGGAGCCATTGAGCCTTCACACAGCCCCGGGATCGTGTTTCATGTAGAATTCTCGATAAAGATTGTTGTAGTTGTGAAGCCTGGATTGGGAAGAATAGGCGCGCAACGTGTAATGCTGGGGACAACCACTGGACAAAGCGACTGCGAGTTCTTGTAGAAGCCCTCAGAACGGAGGCGATTGATAGACATGAATCAGTGTGTGCCTAAGCGAGTTGGTGAAGGTGAAGGACTGTGAGCGGCGGATTTGCGCCGCGCCTACGTGAAGAAGGCTGGCCCAATTCACTTGATGCAGCGCCGTCAGCCACCCCACTGTACAGTTGGCGATGTGCCTGGGCCAATAGACAGTGGCGAGGAGAGGAAGAAGGAAAAACGACTGAAGGATGAAATTGGGGTTGGGGTGCCGATGACCAGGATGCGCGTGCGGCAGATGCAAGCTGTTCTGAGTGAGATGGAGGAGGAAGCTTGCGGAGTAAACAGCGGAACGGGCAATGGTACCACCGAGCAGTGAGCAGAGGCAGTAACGTGCGGCCGAAGCAGACAACAATCCATGGCCACGGCCGTACCGCCAACCATGCGCAAAGCGAGCAGCGAGCATGTCGTCTGGAAGCGATGTTTTACTGCTGACAAGGCACACGGGAGACAGGCGCCTCGCTCAAATGAAGGCGCAGTTCGCCTTGGGCATGGTGCGGGCGGGCTAAGCCGGGCTACCACTGCAAGTAAGTAAGTGCTGCCGCTGATCAGTGGCGCCGTCACGAGCCTCTGCTCCCACTCGACGACGCCGAGAAGAACGCCCTTGGCCATGGCCGCCAGCCGGACTGTTGCCATTACTGCGAATCCACCACCACGGGCGATGCGTCCGCGCCCCAACACGACCGCCGCTGTGCGCGGCCGCCTGGCTCCATGCAGCATCTGAGGCTACTCGCGAATCGGACGCCTGCTGCACCTGGCGCATGATGAGCTATGACATGCGCATTCGCTTTTCCACGGCACACGACGGGCCGCCAGCAGCATCGTGATCAGGGCCTCTCGGAATATCGCTGGCGGGGCGAGCATGGCGTCGTCTATAAGTCTGCGCGGAGAGACCAGGGCGGAGTCGAGCTGCGCCAACGCGGGGTGTCTGGAGTAGACGGCGACGCACCGACAAAGAAGTCGCAGTATTCCGTCTGGAGACGCCCATCACAGCCAATCTGTTGCACCGCGGACCCGCTGCTTACTTGCTACGGTATCGTTCCTGCTTCGACCTGCATCGGCACTGGGCCCACGACATGCCTGCGACGCCCTACGACATTTGACAAGTATACACCGATGCTTGGACACGGCCAGGTTATAAGGAAACGCGCCAGAGCACACCTAACCCGCCACTCACCACCGCAATCATGGCTATCACCGACAACCTCCCCAAGAGCGACTCGCCCTCGCTGGCCCTGGTCCATCCCACCGAGGCAGAGAAGCACATGCAGTTCACCCTCAATGCAGCAGAGTGGCGCGGTGCTCTGAAGCTGCCCGCCTACCTCCGTCGTGAAGCCCACCTCGCTCAGACGGACATGACTCGCAATGGAGGCATCTCGTACTGGATCCTCGTCGACACCTCGCTGCCCAATAACCCTCTGGATCCCCACTCGGGAACAAGACTGCCGCTGGCCAGCTGCGAGACATACCGCAAGAAGGCACTCGTATGGCAGGACGGAGTGCTCAAACAAGTCATCTGTCACGGCATCGGCAGCGTCTTCTGCGCCAACCACCTGCGGAAGCGAGGATATGCCCAGAGGATGATGACCGAACTGGGAAACATCTTGGAAACATACCAGACCGACGACGGAACAGAGTGTCTATTCTCGGTGCTCTATTCCGATATTGGAAAGGTGCGTACTTGTAGCAAGGCGAACCTACCGTGCGGCTAACGACGGCAGAAATTCTACAACTCGTTTGGCTGGGAGCCCTTTACATCATCCCACCTCTCCCTCTCTGGCACTCCTTCGCAAAACACAAGCGGCCTGCCCACAGCGCGGCCGCTATACGCGCAAGACTTGCCAGATCTCTGCGACATTGACGTGGCCTCTGTCCGCCGCAACCTGGAGTCGCGGCCAAAAGGCAGCAACACCGCCGTCGCCATCATCCCCAACCTTGAGACAATTCGCTGGCACCATGCACGCGAAGAGTTTGTCGGAAACGAGCTCCACGGCAAGATGCCCGAGATCAAAGGCGCCATTGTCGGCACCGAAAAGGGCAAACGCGTGTGGTGCTACTGGACACGAATGTGGTACAACCAAGACCCCACAGACACAAAGGGGAACACGCTCCACATCCTGCGCCTAGTTGTTGAGGACGCCGGTTGGGAGGGCTCCTCGAGCCACGCTCACGACCACAGCCACGACGCTGCCATTGCCGCCTTGATGGCCATGGCCCAGCGCGAGGCCGAGGCGTGGAAAATGGAAAACGTAGAGATGTGGGCGCCCACTCCCACGGCCGTCGCCGCTGCAAACAGGCTCGACCCAAGCGCAAAGGTCGTCGATCGCCATGTAGAAAGTATCGCTAGTCTCCGCTGGTTCCCAGAGCACAAAGGCCCCGTCGCCGACAAAATCGACTGGCTAGGAAATGAAAAGTACGCGTGGTGCTAGAATGAGTTTACATATCAATTTTTCTTCTCTTCTTCTTCAAAGGCTAACGCAACTAAATTTTCGGGTTCTTTTTTCCATCGCTATGTAGAATTCATAATTCAGTGGGCTTCAGTTTTATAGGTCACGTGATTGGTGTCAATTTGGGAATACATTCGTAAATGGAACTTTTTGAACTGCCAGACCCTTTTTTTTTAAATCATAAACCCGACTACACATTGTAAAATGTTGTTGAGGTAGCGTCAAATACTGCACATCAATGCTCAGTCTGACTGGCCCTTCGGACTCAGCTACCACGAGCTGATAGTAAGCATACAGGGACTAGTGTTGCTGTTTGTAGGCAGTACTGTCCTGTATGCTTAGCATCGCCGGATCAATCGTCACGTCGTCGACACGCGATACTCATTTAGTTCTGAGGATTTCTCACTCACTATCTACCTCGCTGGCATTGCGGTTCCAACTTTCTTTGCATAGCACAGAACATATACAGGACCACTTTTACCCTGATGACTAGGTGTACCCATTGCAACTTCATTCACTTGATTATCTATTTAAACTTAGATTTTCCTATACTTACGATATTCCACGACCATGCAGCTACTTTGGTTCATCTTCTCCCTAATCGCATATATCCATCTGGTCATCAGTCCCTTTTATCTTCACATTCACCCTCGAGACTTCTCCCACCAAGTCTCCAACGACATCCTCACAGCACGTGACCAGCGCCACACGCACGGCGATGTCTGCGCAGAGTTAATGATTGGCAACAGCTCATGGAATATGAGCCCAGCTGCTCCCATGTCAAGAACATGGATCAAAGCACCGAAACCAACGTCTATGGCTGTACTTGCCGACTGTGATGCCACGTTTCTTTTTCCAAATGCTACTTGAACTAATTGCTATAGCTGCTATAGGCCTCTTTGAGCTGTGGGCTGGAAGAAGAGTGCCGCATCGTCTACACAGAGAGGCCATCCAGCCACCTATTGCAGATGCAACTAAAGAATACGATGCCGTTATAGGTAAGCCAAGATGACGAAACCAATCTAGTTGTGTCATTTTTAGCGTCTCCCCGTGGTGGGTTCCATGGAAATGTGGCGTATGACCAGTTTTCCCTTTGCCATTGGCTGGCTGTTGCAAAGGGTCTGGTCAGATAGCCAAGCAGCCACGCCCCGGTATGCTCACGATGATTTCAACTGATAAATGTATTCCTGGCACCGGATGTGACCACCCAGATTCGCATGCTCAGCTACAAAACCTTTGCTCAACGCCACTTCAGCCTCATTAACTCCAGCCTCGTCAAAGCACCGTCAACATCCCTTCAGCGTTTCAGCTCAATATGCGTCTTTCATCTCTCCTTCTCAGCGCATGCACTGTGAGTGCCGCACTGGCCGCTAGCATTCCTTCTCGCGCCGCTAGCATTGCTTCTCGCGAGGAGGAAGAGGAATGGGAGTACGTATCCACAATCCCCTTGAACCCTCACACTCCAAGGTCCAGATACTAACCATCCGACCCCCCAGTGGTGTCGCCTATGTCCGCGGTGGCGACGCCGCCTACTACGTCCTTGGAATTACACCGCCCGGGCAGGCCAAAATCATCGCATACTGGCCGACGGGAACAGCGTGGTTTGTACGGCCGATCGAGTTCGCCATATCGGCAGGCTATGCCTGCTACTTTTACAAAGAGACGCCTTATGGCCCCGGCGAACGCATAGGCGAATTCCAGGGCCCCATTCAAGCGAGCTTTGACGACTTCTTTGCGGCGTTTTATTCTTGCTGGCGCGTTGTTCTGGATAATCCGTCGTAGGCACGTGGAGGACTTGCTGAGAATTCGAGTGCGAAATACGCTGACGCTCGTTGCGGTACAGGTTGTAAGTAGTGGGACTTTTTGCAGTGCTCATAAGTACGAGTGTGCTTTTTTACTTGTTGGCGCTTTGGTCCGGTGTCATGAGCCTAGACACAAGGGATCATGAATTATACCATGGTGCGTTAATACTCTGGCTAGAGTTTGGTAGAATTGATAAAGCGGTATTTTCGTGTTTGATTTGGAATATCAATCTGTTCTCGCCACTGCATGTCCTGAATCTGGTTCGCTACTTGGTGATGTCGCACGTGATCTCAGCGCTTTGACGTAGCCTCAGCTTCCTCAAACCAGACCATGTACGGTGAAAGCCTGTATTATCCACTGCTGTTAGTATCGACAATGAAATTTGTGTAATGTAGGTGACTCGGGACCGCCCAAGTAGGCGTTGATGAAGGTGTTGAAGTCGGAGGTCCGAGGCACTCCCATTGGCAGCCCGGCGATAAGATAAGGACCCAAAATTTCCATTGCGCCTCCAACTTCCTCACTGCTTGCATGCGACACCACCATACCTTGATACCCCTCGCGCACCGCCCGTCACCCACGAACAAGAACCTATCCATCAGAGACCGCACGCCGAATTGCATCCATAACTACGAGTGTATCACGAACTTTCTGCCACGATGATCAGAAAACAAGCGCGCGAAAGGCGCGATTACCTCTACCGCCGGGCATTAACTCTCCGCGATGCTGAGCTGGCGTCGAAGCGAGCTGCGCTCAAAGAATCCCTCGCAAGCGGGAAGCCGCTCTCAAAAGACGTTGCGGGAGACACAGCCCTACGACGAGACTACAAGTACGACGAGAGCAGGGCCGACCGGACCGTAGAAGAAGAGCTAGGCCTAGACGACGAGTATGCGCAACTCTCTGGTGTTGTCGATCCCAGAATCCTGGTTACAACGAGTCGGTACGAAAGAGTGATTCCCTAGGCAATCAGCATATCCATTAGTGCAACTCAGCCCGACTAACTTTGTGCGCTTCTTTGTATACAGAGACCCCTCGAGCAGGCTAGGCACCTTCGCAAAGGAAATCCGTTTATTGCTTCCAACGTCAATCCGCCTGAACCGCGGTAACATGATCCTGCCCATTCTCGTGGAGAGCGCAAAGGCAGGAGGACTCAGCGACATGGTCCTTTTACACGAGCACAGAGGCACGCCGACGGCCCTGACAGTATCGCATTTTCCGCACGGCCCCACCGCCAGCTTTTCCCTTCGTAAGTCTCCCCGCCCTCTAACTCTAGTGTTTTTTTTCCCATGTACACATATATATCGTGACTCGGGGCTGACAAGGGCGTGTAAATGCAGACAACGTCATCCTGCGCGCAGACATACCCAATTCCTCGCGCGGCACAGTCTCGGAAAGCTACCCACACCTCATTTTCGAAGGCTTCACCACAAAACTCGGCCAGCGCTGCGTCCAGATCCTCAAACACCTGTTCCCACCCCGCGAAGCAAACGCAAAAGTGGGAAATCGTGTTGTTACGTATGTTTCCCCCCCCCCTTAAACTGCCCCTTGAAAAAAAATTAATTTACACCATACTAATATGTGATATATTGTACAGGTTCAAAAACATCGAAGACACAATCGAAGTCCGCCACCACGTCTTCGTCAAAACAGGATACCAATCTGTAGAGCTGGCGGAGGTGGGGCCGCGCATGAGTATGCGCTTGTTTGAAATTAGGGCGGGCACCCTGGATAACAAGGAGGGAGACGTCGAGTGGCATCTCAATCAGTACACGAGGACGGGTCGCAAGAAGGACTATTTGTAGTGCTGTGCTGAGGGTAAGAAAAAAAAGGAGGGGGGGGTTGTCCCTTGTGCTGAGTTGTGTTTTGTCTGGAGAGGTTCAACTATATGGATATTGTGTTGAAGTTGCACATGTGAGATGATAAGGACATGAGCAGCAAAGAAAGTAGTGCGGCATTATCAGCGCAAAAAAAAGGGAAGTGGCATGGAGGCTAGGAGTATGGTGTTGGGCCGAAATTCCGCGGTATGAGGATTTCTTTTCCCTTGATATCATCTGCGCACAGTCCGAAACACACACACACACACACACACATGAAGGTGCATCAGGCCCAAAAAGCATCAAGATGAAAAGCCACAAACTTTTTTTTCCATGTCATAGCCATTTGGGTAGCTTTGCGTAAATGCGGTGTCTATTGAAATCACCGCTCCCTTTCAACTCAGCCGTGCGATTCTGGCGTCATGCACCTTACATCATGCATCCGTTCGACTTGCTCGAGTGCAAATCAGACACACCCAAGCGTACGCGCTGGCCGTTGATCATCATGTAGCTCTCTACAAGCCACTCATACCAAACCTTGCGGTCGTCCGTCTGTCGCCAGAAGCTGACTTCGACTTCCGAGTTAGCCGGCAGCTGCATGGGGTTCTGTGGGATGAGTCAGTAAATGCGCAAGACGGAAGAGATGGAAGTATTGTTGCTCAACGTACCTTGAGAGGGAAAAGGATGGGGAACCACGAGATCATGTCCTTGCTCTTCTGGTCCATGGTGACGGGGTTTGTGCTTAGCTCCACGGGGCCCTCGGACCCGCTGTACAGCACGGTTTCAAAGTATGCGCCCAGTCCGTGACAAACACCTGGTTCTTGGATGGGAAAGGCGATTCTGCAGTAGCGCAGGTTGTGTTCGTTTGCGCCGTCACCTCCACAGAAGCCGCCTCCACCGCCTACTGCAGATCCGCCCTTGCGTAGCGAGGACTGAGCTATAATGCTGGGTGGTAGAGGATGGGTGAACTCCCACGCGGTCTTCACGTTGGGTGCAAGAGGCGGCTCGAGGTTGAAGTTCTGCATCTTGGTGCCGTTGCTGAGCTGTTGAGCAGCAACCGTCTCTTTAGCTTCTGTAGACAAGTAGTCAAATTGTGACAGCATGACGACCCAGGGGATGTCAAAAGCATTCGGGTCCACGTTGGTACTGCGGTTGTACAGGTCAGCCCAGAGCTTGGGTGTCGAGATTGGAGTAAAGTGTGCAGTATAGCTCGATGGTATCGAGATGCCGTGGTTGGGGTTCAAGACATGCTGAACGCCGTCGAGACACTCTGGTGACAACTCATTGTCGGCAAAGGATCCAAGCAGTTCACTGACTAGGATGTCGACCTTGCCAAAGGTGCCATCTGGTTTCGAAGGACCTTTCCAAGCTCTCATGTCGGTCTTTACAACTGTGACGCGCCCGCCCCAAGTCTCGATATTGTGGCGCTGCAGCAGCACATACGCATTGGGGTTCTTTTCAATCGCGTATACTTGCACAGGGACGCCAGAGCTTGCACTCGCATTCAACGCACGTGTCACAAGAGGACCGCGGCCAGAGCCGACGACAGCAATAACAACGGCACCGTTGTCGGAGCTTGTCGACCTTTGCTCGGCGTGCCAATCACGCAGTGCTTGTGCAATGGCTCGCTCATACCATGCATACTTGATTGGGTCCTTTTCAAACACCTCATACGTGATTGACTCCAGATTGTCTGTAAGAGGCTGCAATGGGCTCTGCAGATAATCCTGAAAACCGCCGCCAAAACGTTCAATCTGGCTTTTGGGGGGTTGGTTGCGTTGCAGGTACCGCATGTAGCTGAGATGCGGTGTCGGATCGTTGCTGCTACTGCTCTTCTTTGGCGATTTCCTCGTCAACTGGGCTGCTTCGGCTGGGGTTGGTGCGGGAGCCGAAGAACCAGGGCTCGGCGCGTCTTCGACCGTGTGAGGGGAGAGGTGGCCGGTAGAATATGACATGATCATGTCTGGATCGTCAATGCCTGGCAGTGGGCCGACATCTGAGATGAGCATCCAAGGTCCGCGCTGCAGGCGCATGGCTCGAAAGATGAAGACTTGGTGTGCTTTGGATAGCACAAAGGATTGGCGAGCATTGACCAGAAAAGACGAGGCATATAGATTAAGTAACCGCAGGGGCTCTGAGAACCAGCGCGATTGAAGAGCCAGTGATGGGAATTTGCGCGGAAGGTCGAGCACTAGGGTAGCCATGTTAGTCTATGAAGAGCGTCATTTGACGACGCCGGACTGCGCAAACGAAACGAAAGTCCTTACTGATTGACAATCTGTTGTGGTATTTGCAGATAGATCTGATGGTGTTCCAGGCATCCCATGAACTCCATGAATTAATATTCTTTGCGTCAGCGCTGGGCTCAAACTCAGCTCTTGCAAAACGGGCTAGGTCTCCCAAGTCCTCGCCGGTAGACTCTGGCTGCTTGCCATCCATGGGTAGTTGAATATGTAGCTGAAGATAGGACCCTGTGATAAGCGCCTCCTTGATAGAGCGAGCATACTGAGAGACGCCAGCCTGTCCATGGGCCAGCCTTGGGCCGGGCACGACGACATTTGTGACGCCGCAGAAGGCTGCATAGGCAATCTCAAGGTGAAAGACCTGCCGCGACAGATGGGCGATGAGCGGATCTGGCGAGGAGAGGTCAATCCACGAGCTGGTAAAGGTTACCAGTTGGCCGATGATGTCGTTGGGGCTGAGTGGTGTGTCAAAATTGTCCAGTGCGGGAATCAATGGCAACGGTTGCGACGGCGACTCAGCGAGCGTCTGGGTATAGGAATTGAGGATGCCGAGGACGCGATTATGGAACTGGTCCGTGGTAATTGTGCTGGTGATCATATCATACTGGCGATGGTTAGCAGCGGTCCCTGCATATACTCGAGGCGCCTACTCCGAGATCTTGGGCATGCTGCACCAGCTCCGGCGACACATCGAGGGCGCGCTTCGACTCATGCTGCCCAATGTAGAAGATGGGCACGGATTCGTCCATGCCTTCCGAGTAGTCCATTCCGCGGAGAGGTGTCTGGAAGGGGCGCGGGTATGCTATGCCGCGAAGACGCCGCGCTGTGGAAAAAGTTGGTGACGGCGGCCGACTACGGCGGGGTTAGTGAGGCGGCGGAGGGCAATGCTGCGGGCGCGAGAGAGGGCAGAGGCGATCACGGCGACATGGGACGGGCAGCAAGCACGCGACGGCGAGGGTGTGGGGGTGGAGAGACGGATGTATTTGCTACATAGGACATGTTATGTGCGTGCGGGCGCATGTGTGTGTGTGGGCGTCGGCTTGGGGGGCGTTGCAGCCTGTGGTGGTTCGCGCCAAGCCTTTGTGTACTTGGAGCATTGGCAGTGGCTGCAAGTGGAGCTAGCCACTCCCACTCCCGCCCGGCGCATAACTTTTTCTGGCACCGCCCATTGAGGCCGACATTCACTCGCGCATCCTCCAAAACACCAACACCCACCCGCGCCACCATGACAGCTACGACGAAGCGCGAATTCGACAACGACGACAGCGCCCGCGTCAAGCGTGTCAAGACCGAGTCCAACGGCAAACCCGACATGGATGCCGCCTCCAACCCGTACCTGGCGCACTGGAACGACGCCAACGACAGCGCCGCCGCCCGACAGGGCCTGAAGGGCTTCAAGCGCCATGCCACAACCACCGCCCAGGCCAATGTCGCAGAGAACGGGCCCAACAACCCCTTCACCGGCAAGCCGCTCTCCAAAAAGTACATGAGCATCCTCGAGAAGCGCCGCGACCTGCCCGTCCACCAGCAGCGCGATGAGTTCCTCAAGCTCTACCAGGAGTCGCAGATCCTCGTCTTCGTCGGTGAGACGGGATCCGGAAAGACGACGCAGATTCCCCAGTTTGTCCTTTTCGACGACCTCCCGCAGTCCGAGGCCAAGATGGTCGCCTGTACACAGCCTCGCCGTGTGGCCGCCATGTCGGTGGCGCAGCGTGTGGCCGAGGAGATGGATGTCGAGCTGGGCGAGGAGGTTGGATACAGCATCCGTTTTGAGGACAAGACGGGGCCCAGTACCATTCTCAAGTACATGACGGACGGAATGTTGCTGCGCGAGGCCATGAACGACCACAACCTCACGCGCTACAGCACCATTATTCTCGACGAAGCCCACGAGAGAACGCTCGCCACCGATATCCTCATGGGCCTGCTGAAGGAGGTTGTTCTGCGCAGGCCCGATCTCAAGCTCATCATCATGAGTGCTACCCTCGATGCCACCAAGTTCCAAAAGTACTTCCACAACGCCCCGCTGCTCGCCGTTCCCGGTCGAACCCACCCCGTCGAGGTCTTTTACACCCCCGCGCCCGAACGCGACTACGTCGAAGCGGCTCTGCGAACCGTCCTCCAAATCCACGCTACCGAGCCCGAAGGCGACATTTTGCTCTTCTTGACTGGTGAGGAGGAGATTGAGGATGCTTGCCGGAAGATAAACTTGGAAGCTCAAGATTTGAGTCGCGAGGGTGGTGCTGGACCGCTTGTTGTATACCCGCTGTACGGAACTCTGCCCCCTGCGCAACAACAAAAGATCTTTTCTCCCGCACCTCCGCCAGCAACACCGGGCGGCCGCCCCGGACGAAAGTGCATCGTCTCCACCAACATTGCCGAGACTTCGCTCACTATTGACGGAATCGTGTACGTCGTAGACCCGGGTTTCAGCAAGCAAAAAGTATACAACCCCCGTATCCGTGTCGAGTCGCTGTTGGTATCGCCCATTTCCAAGGCCTCTGCACAGCAGCGCGCTGGTCGTGCTGGTCGTACACGTCCTGGTAAATGCTTCCGCTTGTACACCGAAGCTGCATTCAAGAAGGAGCTCATCGAGCAGACCTATCCCGAAATCCTGCGATCCAACTTGGCGAGCACAGTCCTGGAGCTGAAGAAGCTCGGAGTCGACGACCTGGTACACTTTGACCTGATGGACCCTCCTGCGCCCGAGACGCTGATGCGAGCATTGGAGGAGCTAAACTACCTGGCATGCCTGGATGATGAGGGCGAGCTTACCACACTGGGAGGGCTCGCGTCTCAGTTTCCTCTGGATCCTGCATTGGCAGTCATGCTAATCACATCGCCTGAATTCTACTGCTCTAATGAGATTCTCTCCCTTACTGCACTCCTCTCTGTACCGCAAATTTTTGTTCGCCCAGCCAACAACCGCAAGCGAGCAGACGAGATGAAGGATCTGTTTGCACACCCCAAGGGCGACCACCTTACCATGCTGAATGTCTATCATGCGTTCAAGAGCGAGGAAGCGCAGGCCAATCCGAAGCAGTGGTGCCACGACCACTTCCTGTCATACCGAGCGCTGCAACAAGCCGACAATGTCCGTATGCAGCTCAAGCGCATAATGGAGCGCGAGGAGCTCGAGCTCGTATCGACACCGTTTGAGAACAAGAAGTACTACGAGAACATCCAGCGTGCGCTCGTAGCCGGTTTCTTCATGCAAGTCGCCAAGCGGGATGGTAACGGAAAGAGCTACATTACTGTCAAGGATGAGCAGAACGTTCTCCTGCATCCCAGCACGGTGCTGGCCGAAGACAGTGAATGGGTCATCTACAACGAATTTGTGCTCACGACAAAGAACTACATTCGAACAGTAACGTCGGTCAAGCCGGAGTGGCTGATAGTAAGTGCCTGTATTCCCCGATGATGAATGCTATACTAACGATTGCAGGATATTTCTCCCAACTATTACGACTTGTCCCAATTCAAGAAGGGTGAGATCAGACAGGCGCTGCAGCGTGTTGTCACCAAGGTGCTACGCAAGGATGCCGAGAAGGCGATCCGGAGATGATGTGATTCGTACTCGTTTGTTGCTAGGCTAAGCATCAACATGCTGTTGCACGGACGGCGTTTGTGTCCTGGGTACAGTGTCATTTGGCGTTGGATTTACATGTAGACCGGGGTATACTCCACAACATGGGCGCTGCCAAAAAGCGTCTTGTAATTCAGTCATGATGTCCAATCTCCGTACACCATCTCCATGTCACGTGTCAGACCTCAAATAACGTGACCCCACAGATCGGCATGTTCAAACACCGATCTCCAACTTTTTTCGAGCTCAGCACTTTTGCGACAACGCGGTCGCAAACCACATTACGCAACCCGGATTCGTCTACCTTTTCCAATCATGGCACCAGTACAGGGCGGCGATGAATCTCTATTCCACATTGAGCGCATATCACAATACGTCTGCATTCCGCCCTCGTGCCTCTCCGATCCCTTCTCAGCCGTATGCGCGACTGTACTATCGCCATTGCTCCTCACCTACTTTCCGGCTGCACGAGGTGTAATACTCGCATACGAGGACGTTGATCTGAGCAGCTCGCCTCCAACTGCATCCGCCACAACGTCTAAATCTCGTTCAAAACGTGCACAAAACGGTGCCACCAATGATTCGCCGGCGGAGCCTCTGCTCCTCAGACATGTCGACGAATACGCTGCGCCCTTCCTATGGGCTACTGCCTCCTTCCTTGTATGGCGTCCCGTCCGAAATGCATACCTAGATGCGCACGTTACCGATCAAGCGAAAACACACATTACCCTCGCACATCTCAATACTTTTCCCGTGAGCATTCTCAAGGAGCATATACCCGCAGATTGGTCATGGCACCAGAATGAGACTGGCAAGGTCAAGAAGGGTTGGGACGAGAGTTTGTCGGATGAAGGTGGCTGGTGGGTCAATGGCGACGGCGAGAAGGTCGAGGGTGAACTCCGGGTCAGGATACGAGACGTTGACGGTAGAATGGATGGAAGAGGCAAAGGAAAGGGATTCCTGCGTGTTGATGGCTCTCTGCTATCTGAAGAGCAAGAGAAGGCAGCCAAAGCGGCACAAAAGAATGGAAGGGCAAGCAAGAAGGCTACAACAAGTGCAATGAGGACGCAGCGAAAGGATCAGGCAAACGGAGATGTCATGGAGGTTGATGCAGAGTCGGATTAAAGGGCCGGAAGCAGTGTTGGGGCATTGACGCGGTCGCACGCTTTGCAAAAGACAGTGTCGCATTCGCATTAGGGCGGCGTTCGGGCGTTGGAAACAGCAAGATGCATTTCTCAGCATCTATGATACCACCAAATTCAGCCATTTCAGAAGAGCGTGCCTTTTTCTCAGTTCACGTGCACAGACCAATCAGACCACACATACCTCCGAAGCTCCGCAAACCGCGGCTTCAGCCTTGACCCTTTCATCCCACCTTGCCCCCCATCTCTCACCCACAACCCGCGCCGCCATGTCTTCGTCCAAGAAATCCTCGTCTTCATCTTCGCGTAAATCCCGATCGCAGCCCGAAGCCACGTACGGCCCTCCTTACCCCACGCATGGAACGACGTATAGTTCCATATCGCCATTCTGGACAATAGGCACGCTCCTCGGCGCCTCGAGCGTTGCGCTCGGTGCTTTCGGGGTCCATGGACTGAAACATCGAACCTCTGATGTATCCAGCTGGAGAAATGCTGCCCATTATCAAGTAAGCCTTGTGCCATGAACCTGCCATGTTTCCCACCTGTTCTCTATTCTCATACATGGCTTGCGTCGCCGTCGAGGTTCAGAACTCTGCTAATGCGACATGCGAACAGCTTATCCACTCAATTGTCCTGACTTTTACTGCCGTGGTGGCGCCGGCAAACAAGCTCGCTATGTCTCTTTTCACAGCGGGCATAACCATGTTCTCTGGCAGCATATATCTACTGCTGTTGGATCCCAAGAAATACAAGCAGCTGGGACCGGTTACGCCAATTGGCGGGGCTTGCCTTATTGGAGGCTGGATTATGCTTGCCGCGAGGGGTAAGATGGTTCTGCCCAGGGGCAGGTAGATTTGGATATCAGAAAGGCCCAAGACACGAATACAGCAGACTTGGGTACGACGTGCTAGGAAAGCGCTGGAAGCCGTAGCAGACACAAACATTGACGTGATCAAGAATGATGACCATGAATCAATTGAAATGGTACCGAATTTGGGTTTCTCGAAATACTTGCATTGTCTTCAGTATGCTAATCCCATCACAAGGCAATGCCCCTCTTAGGACTCGGAACTGTGTGTCATGGGACCCCTGCGCCAACGTGGGCCAGGCCCGCTTCCAACTACGAAGTACGCCTAACTCAATTGCAACGCTGTCAAAGCCGAAAGCAAGACTTGGGCCTGCCTTGCAAAATCGTCCTTCCCCTACTACGACGCAAACCCACCTCTAGGACTCCCGCCGAGCACAATGACAAGCCAATCACCGGGCACAAAATTACCTCCTTCCATTCATGCGCTGTCTACGCGCAAGGGCTTAGCCTAGCGTAATCCTCCTCACAGGGCTGACTCGCCACACAACCCACTTTTGCACCTCGCTCTAAACATGCCTCGGCCATGGCGCCCCTTTTGAGCCTCTTCCGTCCCGCGTATCTCTTGCAGCCGCCCTGTCGTCCAGATGTAAGTAATATGCTCTACCGTTCAGCGTCCAACAAGGCCCCGTATATATTGCTCAGAATAGCCAGAGTCTAAGCCAATCATAGATTGCTGTTCCCAGACGGGCAGGATTGTCGTTCTGCAGGTCAGAGATTTGTGATGCCCAACTTATGTCAAGCACAAAAGAGTGCGCTGGCTAGGACATAATTTTTTTTCGGCAACAGCTAGAGTACGTATAGTACAGTTAAGACGCAGGGCAATGCTGTCGGTACATGTCCCGCTCACATAGAATAAGGCGTACTGCGCGACCAAACCGACTTCAACCCACCCCACTTGGGCCACGCAGGCTTTTGTCTTAGGGGGGCCACTTGGAACCCTGCGTGTGAATCTAATGGCGCGCTAAGTTCTCGGTATGTGTCTACCAAGGAAATAGGTTCTTGAGACTGAGGCCTTGGGGGCTAGAGAAAAAAAGAGGGCAGGTCCTCTGTTTTTTTGACTTTCTCTCTCTCTTCACCTCTCACACTGTCTCCAACATGGAATCGTCAGATGGGCAGGCACCCGCAGGGATGTTCCATCTCTCAGTGTTTTATGGAGCTGGACTCGTGGGGCTATGGCTTTTGTTAAAGGCAGCACAGGCTCTGTATAACATTTCGCCATTGCATCCGCTGAGCAAGATTCCAGGCCCTAGGCTGGCGGCTGCTACGTACCTCCCGGAGTTCTACTACGATGTCATCAAGTTTGGGTGCTATACCAAGGAGATTGGTCGGATGCACCAGATCTACGGTAAGGAGTTGACGAAGCGATATGAACGAGTGTGGAAGCTGATTATAGGCTTCTCTTAGGCCCCATTGTACGCATCAACCCAAACGAAATCCACTGCGACGATGTCAGCTTCGCAGATGAAATCTACGCTGTAGGCGGACGCAAACGTGATAAGCCCGTCCACCAGATCAATGGCTCAGCGTAAGCTACTCTCAAACCCGCACACATGATCAAAAAAACCGTCTAACTGGTCAGTCTCGGTGAATCAGGCTTCGGCACAGTCGACCATGATCACCACCGCATGCGCCGCATCCCCGTGGCCAAGTTCTTCTCGCGCTCTATGATTGCCCGCCTCGAGCCCGACATCCACGCCCTAGTTCAAAAGCTATGCGACAAACTCCTCGCGCAGTCCGGCGAAAATGACCCCTTTGATGTGACCATGGCCTACAGCTGCTTCACCTCCGACGCCATCTCCAGCTACAGCTTCGGCCAGGGCTTCGGGCTGCTCGACCAAAAGACGTGGTACCCGAATTTCCGCGAGCCCACCGCCTCCATCCTCCGCCCCGTCTTCGTCTTCCGCTTCTTCCCATGGACCAAAGCAAGCGCGGGCCTCGCCACCTTCTTGATCGACTACTTGCCCAAGGACATAGCCCTGATGGTCAAGACGCTGCAAATCGACATTCCCGCACTGATCCGCAAGGCCGAAGCCGATCTCGACGCCGGCATCACATACGACCGCCCCACGGTTTTCGCCGCCCTCCTGCAATCCGCGTCGGACGAGGAAAAAAACAAGCTCCGCTGGGTCGCTGACGAGGCCCAGGCCATTGTCGGTGCAGGCACAGAGACAACCAGCTGGGCTCTCGCTGTCATCACCTACCATTTACTCAGCAACCCGCCCCTCCTGGCCAAACTCACTCGCGAACTCGAGACCGTCGTTACAGACCCCCGACACCTCCCCGGCTGGACACAGCTCGAGACACTACCGTATCTCGGCGCTGTCATCCAAGAGGGCCTGAGACTCTCGTACGGCGTGTCCAGCCGCACTGCGCGCGTCGCGACCGAGGAGAACCTCGTATACCGCGGCGAGTGGGCCAAGAAAGACGTCGAATACGTGATTCCGCAGGGCTATGCCGTCGGCATGTCGGCAGCCATTACCCATCACAATGAGCGCTCGTTCCCGGATTCGTTTGCCTTTGCGCCCGAGCGCTGGCTCGATGAAAACAATCAGCGCAGAAAAGATGTCGAGCGCGGTTTGTTGGCGTTCTCAAAGGGGAGTCGTGCGTGTCTGGGTATGAAGTAAGTTTTTTTTTTCCAACTCTCCTTTTCTAGTAAAATATCATTTTGGGAATTAGGAAGTAGTTGGGCAAGGATTTTGCTTTTTTATGTATATATACTAACGAGCTATCTAGTCTAGCACTATGCGAACTCCATCTCTGTCTTACCGCGCTGGTCCTGCGTGTGCTGCCGCACATGCGTCTTGCGGGCACCACGGACGAAGACGTGCTGTATGACCACGACATGTTTATTCCCATGACCAAGACCAGCAGGGGTGTGCGTGTGACGATTGAATAGCAGGTACAAGCGCGCTTTATCTCAGCAATGTATTTGTTTTTATGAGTAATCTCAATTGTGCTGACGCAGCGGCTTTCTATAACGCTGTATCCCAGCAATATATATAATTATGTACAGCGCCACAAATGCAGTTACGTTTGCTGCGAAGGCGGTACCGCCGTATTCTGCGTCTGCTCTTTCCTTTGCACCCAGCCGAAGCGGGGCGACCCGTTATTCATGTCGAAGATCTGAGTGGATGCGTTAGCCATTTTTCTTCCACTTGCAATATCGAGAATGTTTTTGGTGTGAAAACGTACCGCATACATGGCCTTGAGTACAGCATCGCCGTAGATATCCATGTTCATGGATCCCCTGCTCTGGATGCTGCCGTACACCATTCCGTTGCCTGCGTCGGCAAAACCGAGGTCTTCTTTCTGGAAGCTCACCATGGCGTCGCCAATGGCGAGCTGGATATCCGGTAGGCTGGATGCTGACGTCGACGCAGGGAATATGTAGCCTTGATTAGTGTCGTCGTACTTTGCACCGGGAATGGCTTTGTAGACAGCTTCGACGAGCGAGTCGTCGACGAGGCACAGCGTGGTGCCCGTGTCCATGATGGACGTGTTACCGGACCGCGTGATCGTCTGTCCATTGATGCTGGCGGATGTGGATTGGATTTGCCAAAAGCCCTGGCTGTTGTCTACAGGGGCGTAGTTGGGTGTGCTTGCGCCAGATGCCTTCATGATGTCATTGTCGATGAAGCCAAATGTGTAGAAACTCTGGAACAATCAAGTCAGTTTGAAAGAATCCAAAAGCAGACAAAACGGGGGATGCTTACCTCGCCCTTGTCCGGCTCGTCCTTGTCCCTCCAGCTACCAAGATACGCAGTGAATAGCTGCGATCTTTCTGGCTGCTGCGCAATGATGTTGTCCACGGGCGTCTTCTGCTGATCAGGCTTGACAGTGTTGATGGAGCTAAACGCCAAACCCAGTAGCCCGCTTCCATTGCCCTGTGCAAACTGCTGCGAGAGCTCTTTCGCAAGCTCGATGGCTTGGTTCTCTACCTTGAGGCCACCCAGGTCAAGCACATCGGTGCCGACATCTCCGCTCGCCGACGACGAGTCTCCGTAGGAAATCTTCCACGTCGCGTTGTCGAGCTTCTTGAAAGTACTGGATTTGGACGCGTCAAAGGCAACTTGTTGATTGGCAGGGTTCGCAGACTGGAGAATGGATTTCGGGAGTTCAGTTGACCAGACCTGTAGACATGGGAGCCGCTAGATTAGCTATCTTCTTGTTGTGAGGGTGAGAGATACGTACCCAGAGATCAGCCGAGCTCGTGTCGAAATCTAAATAGAGTTTCTGCTCTGGCGTGCCAATGCCGACTTCGCAGAGGTACAGTGAGTCGTTTTGGATGTCTTCGGCTGGGACATCGCCGTCCGTGGCCTCTCCACTGGCTGGTGTCGAAGCATCGCCGCTTTTTGTGCCGGTATGTTCGGACTTGTGGTGCTTTCGCTTACGCAGGACGTGGTGGAAGCGTACGCGACCGCCGACACGGCCGAATTTGCCCTGCTGGGACATGACTTTTGCTTGGTAGTACGGGCCGGGTTTGGTAGGATGGAAGCCATCTGGGCGGTGTTAGTCAAGCAACAGCAGGATAGGGTGAGAGTGAATATGCAGATGGGTACATTTTGTCATGGCATAGGCATAGCTCCTAATTCCAGCGGCCTTGTAGACCGGGCTACGCTGAACGGCGAGGCGCTGAAGGGAAGCCATGATGTAATGCAAGCAGTATAGGTGTAACGATGCTGTAAAAGGGTGTAGTTTCAATCTGTTCCAAAGTAGAAGGAGGAAAAAGACTGAAAAGCTGGGAGGATTGTATTGCCTACCGCGACTTGCAGAGCAGCATATATACTCTGGTACCCAGCCCCTCATCCGTACTTACATCACCATGGCCCGGTGTAAAAGCAAATCCGGTCGCCCAACCATTTCCCCTGCTAAGAGTGTTCGACCAGCCGCGTCTGCATGGTGACATGGGCTACGTGTAGTTGCTCCCGCAAGCCCCGTTTGAGGACCAAGCCATTGCAAGCTTTGTCAAGCCTTGAGCTAAGCTCCCGATGATGCATGTGGTCGATATACCATGCGCGCTAGCTGAATCCCAAACAACAACACCTGCAGATCGCAGGTACGGGATTGACCGGCAGCGGTGCGGATACTGAGTTGTCTGGAGATCAGGGCCTGGATGGGTGTAAAGTGGGGTGGATTGCTGCGGCTACTATGCGGGTCTCAGCTGGTAATGCTAGAAGTCAATATAGGCCATCGTGTCCAGTGTCTTATCAGCTCCAGGTGTCGATCAGAAAGGTGGTTCAAGGATGCAGAGCAGGGTACGGGCAGAGGCCACGATTGGAAGCTCCGCAGCTACACAGCCCCTCGCCTTGTCGACTTGATTGGGCGACGCTAGAGAGGATTTGGATGCGTCCTTGTCTGCTGTTCAAGAGCGGGCGGTTGTAATCAAGGAATATACCCAGGTGTATAACCATCCGGTCTGGGATGTGTGTCATGCAGTGTGTATTATTATTATTATTATTGTAGTTTAGCGTCCTTTCTCAGCCCAAAGGGCTATATAAGACGTGCAGGCTTAAGGCCTGCAAGTAACTACGTAGGCTAGAATTTAATCTAGGTACAAATTGAGTAGGTACAATGTAGGGGGTTATCTAAATGAAGGTGAGGCTCGTAGCCTAGTAGTTTTTTAGTGAGTAACTCTCTCAGATCTTTCACTTTAAATGAGTCTTCCTCTCAAGTTTTAACGAGTAACTCTCTCAGTCGAATAGGTAGTTTAATGAGTAACTCTCTCATGTGGGTGGACCATAAATATGGTTGTGAGGGGAGAAGGATTCGAACCTTCGATCTTTGCTGACGTGAGACAGCAGAAAATTTTTCCAGGCGCTCCACCACTGCGCCATCCCCCCTCATGCAGTGTGTAGGTGGTTGTGTTTCAGGGGTTTAGTGACGTCAACAGGTACACGCGTCGCCGCTAACAAACGTCAAGAGCTTGTTGTTCCTTGGTGACATTTGTCCACAATCCACTTGCCTAATATTTGATACTTGGTCTTTCAGCTGCCGATTGCTTCAGGCCTGCCTTTTTGAGGCCTGCGCTACCGCTATCATGATTCAAGGAAGAGAAGTCGACCAATAAATAGTACCTTTTGAGGCGAGCCCTATTTTCACGACATTAATCGTTTCAATGGGTTGATAACGCTCTCTAAACAATAAGCATGATCCTAACAGTGGCGAGTAGTATTTACGTTAGCATCATATTACCTGCAACAAGTCGTGGAATCTTGCCGCCTTTCGTCAGTCACACAGGTACGTTTGTAAGAAACGACAATGGAAGAAGAAGCAGATCAACAATCAGCGTCTCATGATAACCAATACAGAACATGTCAGGTTTCATAAATAAACATGGCTGATACTATGCACGTATCTTCGTCTTCGCAGCAATGTGCAAAAGCCCATACCTGAAAGAAGACCATGTTATGCCTTACCGGATGGGGCATAGCGCCTTGGCGGAGGCACATAAATGTACCAGACTAGGTGTACGCTGATAAATGGGTAGGGGTTGCGTAGGAGTTGCCAAGATCGGGGTAGCACATAGCATAACCTCTACCCAACCCCTACCTATATACCAGCGTATTCCTAATAGGTGAGCAGTCTGTCCGCAGGTATGCCTGATAGAGATTGTGCGTGGGTGGTGCGGCAGAGTAAGACTTTGTCTTTTTACGTGAAGAATGGGGTATCACTTCTAATTATACATGAACAAAGTTGAATATGCTCCTATCACCCGCCAGGTTCACAATAAGGGCGGCAGAGTATAAGCGATATCAAGATTACAAAAGCATGTATCATACTGATTACTGCAGACAGATTGTAAATAAAATGAATGAAGCACAAAGTTGATGGAGAGGGTCCTGTATCGCGGGACTTCTGTTTATTCAATTTTGACGGTGTTTCAGGGTCCCTTTTTTGCTCTTTATCTCGCTAGTTAATATTTATGCAGTCAACTTTTCTAAAAGCAAGCTTCGTACGAAATAAGGCTTCTCTGAGACAGGGGGGTAGAGTGGGGGTTACATTCCGAAACCGGGACTTGGTCATTCAACCAGGTTTCTGCCGAAACAACATAGCGAGATACAGCTCGTGTATGCCACAGGGTCGACCTACTTCCAATCTCGAAGAGCCCTTGTTTGAGGCTATCCTTCTTATCTAATATTCTAACGCGACGGGAACGAGAGGGAATAGGATCACACGTGAGAGACAAAGTATTTGCGACTTGAGAAGGCAAGGCTTCGAAGAGAAAAGCGCCACAATGCATTCATCCTAAACGAAAAGGCTTCCAAAAATAGTCAAAGCAGATTATCAGTAGTATGAACTCCCAGAACTGATCATCATCTATCCTTGCGTAGTGGAACGGACGTTACCAATAAAAGCAGGCTACCTAAGAATGGCTTCTTCCTTTCCACATGTGTGTACAGACATTTATATTAACTATCTTCTTGGTATCATATATTTGCTGATAGGTCCAAACTCATATATGAAACGGTATTTGTTAAACGATCATTTGACTGGGGAGTTTTTAGTCTAGGCGATATAATAGATTGATGACTGGTGTCAGGCTTGCGCGCCTATATATACTATTCTATCCCTTGTGATTAGCAGAAGGCCGATTACTCGTACCTTTTTAGTTGCAGTAGAATAGTGGCAAATGAGCTAAGCTCCTGACAACTGGCGGTGTGAATGGTAGCGGGCGGGGCCGAGCCGAAAACGGCCACTCTGGTCCGTTATTGGCGCCCGTTACTGGCACTATGATTTTATATTTCCGCATTGACGTTTTCACCCGTTGTTCGACTATCCGGGTCTGCGAAGAGGCTATTCAATGGTAATCGTGGAACTCGGAACTGATTTGCATGATTTCGAACGAGTCTACTTCTATGAACTCCTGTTACTAGAGAAACGCCGAACATTTCATCACAAACCGAAAAGACGACCTCCCGTTCAATAGAGACAAAGGTATTCGAGTATTACAATCATCAAAGAAAGAGACACTACCAGTGTGGGAGTATTGTATAATAACCACATGTTTACAGTCAGTAGTGCTGCAGATGAACTAGGACCCTCATCAACATGAGCAATTCTTATGTTGCTGTTTCCAAGACTACTTTGGAAAACTTTCAAAAAATCACCTTCCACGTCAGCATTGAAACTAGCTTGTTTTCGTAAGTATTTACATTTTACATAACTGGAGATCAAAACACTCTGCTAAAATTTATCGCCTAACAATCTCTCTAAACTCGAGAACAAAGTCTCACAGACTAATTATCCTCTGAACGGCCGCCGGGTCCCCACTGCTGATTTTTTTTCAAATGGCTGAAGCCGATTTCTTCCCGGAGTATTTCACCGAGTTTTCCTAGAGCTGAGAGGCAAAAAAGCATTTCATGGATGCAGATCACTCCTAGCTTGCTGGGTTTCTGGCTACTAAGCGATCAAGCAATATGTTATTACAACAAAATGCAACGAAAGCGTTGATCGAAGAGCATGTAGTAGGAAAGGATCTACAGAATAACATGACATAAAAGACTGCAGCCCTGGAAAGGAACTGGACTGCTCATCCTTTCATACTTGTCTCCTAAGATTGACCACACATCCACAATGAGAGCTGCTCAAGTCCTTGTCCTTGCTACACTATGTGCGAAAGCCTACTCCTACGATACTCAGAACGTAATGGGAATGGACTCTACCCATGAAGTGCTAAACTCGCTTGATCATTTTGGGACCTCGTATCAATGCGACAATGGTGAGTAAACTCGAAATCTAAGTAAATAACTACGGAAAAGCTTATCATGAAATACTAGGATCTAAGCCTTCCCTTAGTTGTGTCGAGCCTTCAGCACAGCCGGAGTGCTCTTGTACTTGTACCAATGGCATCATCTTCAATCAGCCACTGTCTGCAAGTCCTACTGCCAGTTCCACTCCAGATACCTGCGAGGCAGACAAAGATGAATGGGACAAACGCGAGGCAGAGCTATTGGCCGACCTGGCCAACTACCAGAAAACTAGTGCCCAAAAAGAGCAGGAGTGGTTGGAAAAACAAAAGGATCTCACAAATAAGCTTACGCACGCCCAGCGAAAAACAGCCACATGGGTCGGATGTGCCGTAGATTCTGTTTCGTCGCGTGTACTGTCTGAAGCGACCAAAGATTCTGCGCACATGACACACTCTATGTGTCAAGAACACTGTAAAGCATATCCATACTATGGTGTTGAGGGTGGAAGGCGGTGCTTTTGCGGCAAAATGTTAAAGGACGAGACCCGTCTGGTTTACAGAGCGGAATGCAGCTCGGCACGATGTGCTGGCGATTCAAAAGTAGTCTGTGGAGGAAACTTGAGAACAAGCATATTTGTGATGAGGTAGGGTTAAGGTTGAGTATCTCTACGTTGAATATATAGCATGTGTGCTTAGCAACCCTGAATTTAACTTGGCGTACAAGCTCTGGTTGGCGTGTGGCACGAGTAGGACGGAAGTATGAGGAGGAGCGCGGGATAGCAGTACTAAGTAAAGGGCTTGATTATAGATGATTATGAGCTGTTATATGTCTAGCGCTGTGATGCCTTGAATTGCTCTGCGTACTATGTGCTATGGTATCTTCAAAGGGGTGACGGTAAAAAAACGTATTTAGAAAAGCTAAGATTATCAGACGTGCATAGATATACTCAGAGAAAAGGTCATTTAGATTTTAGACTGTTGTCTAAATAGTAGTATAGTATAACATGAATTAGATCATAGGTCGTCAGTAAGTAGTGGTGTTCTTTAAAAGGAAAATCACCAGGGAACTATTCTAGTGATTACCTAGTATTGATAGGCCTAAGCACCCATTAGAGCAGGCTAACCCAGGTCAGCCCAAACAGGCCAGCATGGACCATTTTAGTGCAGGTTTTAACACTTCTACTCTATCCCACACAAGAAATGGAGCCAAATTCATTCTTGGTGGCCTCCCACCACGCGCCATGGATTGACCCTTTCTGACATCCAATACCCGTTCTGAACCGCCAATTCAAGATACGTGATGACTCGAGCCCGCCGCAATACGTGCCTGAAGGGCCGCAGCCCTTGTTCTTGAGATTGTCCCATAGCCCGCCGCACCAGCCGGGAATTAAGGATTTGTGTTAGTTGCTGAAGCTGTGTCGAGGTAAGGAACAAGTAGAGAAAGGTGTTTTGCGCACTTCCATAAACGTTACTAGCCCAGATGTCCCAATCCACGAGGAAGGGTTTGCCTTCTACGTTTCTAACGCTACACGAAGCTGCAGCCACGGTTTCGCTCGTGGCGAGGAGAGTCACCAGGACAGAGGAGGTGGAGAGTCTGGAGAAGCGCATATTGATATTGAGATACAGAAGTGAGTAACTGTTTGGTTTTTCAAAACATGGCTTTGGGGGTGCCTTAAATACTCAGATTCCTGTTGGCATTGAGACTGAGTCTTTGAAGCAGCTAGAATCTCAATGTCTGAAGCCTTGTGATGAAGTGTAGCATGCCTTAGCTTGTTATTTGCCATGGCTCGTATTGCTGGCGAGAAGAGCTCGGCATCTACGAATGGTAGAATCCCTTGGATATAAGGCATGCTCTTGGCTGTGTGTTTGGGCTAGCTACCAAGACACAATATGAGAGGCGAGAAGCGCTTGGGATTTACCTTTATTCAACTCAAATACCCTGTCGTTATATGAATGCTCAAACAAAAAAGCGAGATTTCAACATAACTGTCCTCGACTCTCAATGAGAGACAAGCGACGTTATAGCACTGACTCCATATAACACTTTCCAACTCTTCGACCATCAAACTCAGGTCCCTGGCGGTTTTCTTTCCCCGCACTTAATGCCTGTATACATCCTACGCGTTGCACAAAGCTAACTAGCTTAAACAATCGCCCGCTTGGGCCCACTGCCATGGATAACTTGGCAGCGGCCTGAATAGTGATCGACAAGACCATGACCTTGAAAAGTCCAGATTATTATTAGCCATGAAGGTTTCCCACCCGCTTTACAGCACAGTGGATGCTAATCCCGGCAGAGATGTCAACAATCAAGCCAAGCCAAGCTCCAGCTTGGCTTGCCTCAGCTTGATAGGCAAAAGCAAAACTGTCAGCTTGGCTTGGCTTGACTCAGCTTGGCTTGGTGTATCAAGCCAGCTTGATTGATGAGCTTGATGAGCTTGATGGTCATAGCGTCTTTTTCAAAGCTAGTTAAGTAGATAATATTAGCTATAGCTACAGCGACTATTCTTGGTGTTGAGTTTCGCTATCACTATTGATATCGCTATCCCACTTACTCAGCTCATACAACGTCTCTATACTATCATCACTTATAGTGACTTTTGAGCTAATATTATCGTTGCCTAAACCAGCTTTACGCCACCGTCGTACGCACTGTATCGCCGCCAAAAGCTGCGGTTGCATGCCTCGTCGGCGAGGCTCTAGTAGATCCCCAAGCTCACTGAACATGCGCTCACACTCGCAGCTTGACGCTGGTATCGAGAGCACGTCTAGCGCAAGCCTGCTAAGGCGTGGGTAACGATCTCGCATGAGTATCCAGTATCTTTGTACGGTTGTTGGCCTATTCAGTGCCTTCTCTCTACGCGCGGCTCGCAGTGTTTCCATCGGTCGAAACTCATCATCTACTACTGCGACGTTGCTAGTAGTCGCGGTATTA